GATCACAGATGATGTCTTGAAGCATTTAGACCAGGTCGGGTCAGGTCAGGTCAGGTCAACCAGTAGGCGTCGTGACGGGTATTCGTAGTACGTGTCAACCGCCTCTGACAGCTTCGTAACATGTTACGAAGGCACCAAAACTACCTCGTAAATGTTCAAATGGTTGCTAAATTCGAATTCAGCTCCAAAAACTAGCCTAGAAACATGTAAAACTCGAAAAAGTGAACCGAGGTCACCCGAGGCCACCAAAGGTCAATGACCTGACCTGACCTTCAGGTGACCTTGACACACACGGGAGTAACATCATATCACATGTTTGAACGTTTGAAACCACGAAAAGCTTGCAAACACGCGGCTAGTGCGAGCCGACATACGCGAAATCGCGATTCCGGCCAAACATGGTCTCGGAAAAGAGGTCACAGGTCAAAGGTCATTTGGGTCAGGGTCATGAAATTTTCAGGGTAGGTGTCAAATTGATCAATGCGAGGGTACTGAAAGTTTCGTCGCGATCGGCCGCTTTTTACGCGAGTTATTCGCGAAAAACCATGGGGGGGGGGTCCATCCGACCCCCCCCCCTACACATGCGAGGGTTAAGACGACCTCGCATTTCAGGAGCGTAGCAGAGACAGTGGACGAGCATATACAAAATGAGCTACACTGTCAGGATTGGAGACAAATTTGCGACATATATGCAAAAAATGGCATACCTATGCCAACCCGTTTGGAAATAAAGTGAATTTATCGATGGGTAAATCTTTATGGCTCACCCTGTACATTGATTGGTTGTTCATGTAGAGGACATATCTTATTTTGCTAGACCAATGACGGTCAATGAAACATAGTACACTTTACTATAGCTACTTGTATGGATTGGACGACCCAGTAACAACAAAAAAGAACTGATATGTGCTTGTTTTTACAGTGGCAATCCACAAGGAAATCGCTGCAATTGCTAAATATGAGAGCAAGTCAACATAACGCATCAGTGCCTGAATAAGTAATATGAACATTGAAGAGCATGCTTATTCATGCAAAGTGGGTATATAGCGCGACACTTTGAGTGCGAAAGCTCCATCGAACACCTGTCGTAAAACACGGATGCAACCGTCCTTTTCTCATTTTCTCCTGACGTAAATGTTTCATTGAATGCCGATAAAATGTCATAAGAATAAACAACCATTTAACTGCATCGTTGATTCACGATATGCAATTTAACTGTGCGTACACAACATGTGAGTAATTTTTACATACTTCCGGCATATTCAGCTCATGACGGTGCGGCTTGATCTGTGGCGGAGTCCTGCACTTCCGACATGAGACTTCCCTTGTCATGTCCTCTTTACACTCCAGCGTCATAGCGCCATAAAATGAGTATGTCCCTTGAAGCGCTAACGACTTGTCAACACCGACACACTAAATAATAAATCAAAAAGATATCAGATAAAGCGCAGCAGACGTCAAATGTTATTGTACTGTTGGATCCAACTACCTATAGTTAATGCAATTTTAGCAGCTCAAAAGCCGGTAGGTAACTATGGAGCGAAAACCCTGTCAGCTATACTGTGCTTAACTGTTATGAGTGTTCAATTTATCAGTACTCATCGGCCACCACCAACTCAGAGTGGGGGTTATGCGTCATCCAGCAGCTTATCTCTAAAACAAATTATCATAGGCTATATCATGACAAAACATCGTGGATGCACTAAACCTCCCCTCCTACGATCAAGGAGTAAAAGAAGGAATCACCCTAGAGATGTCTATCGGATACCAACATTTTGGTATAGGGGCATTCCACGTCAAGTGGGACAAAAAATGACCATTTTGAACCTCACCTCCTCCGATTTTTGCGAAACTTTGTGAAACTACTCATCTATATATGAAAAGAAAGGAGACATTTTTTTGTCGAGATATGACGTCACGTTTCCGAGATACACGTCATCAAACATTGACTTAGGTAAGGCACATTATCATCTTTAAAACGTCCTAATCATTGAAGTTTTAGACATATCACCACGCAACAAAGTGTGAAATGGAGGGAATAGATCAGGCTTTGATTTGAGGATAACAATATTGACGTTATTAAATAATTAGTGAACTTAATTAAAATTCAAAAAATAAATTTTGATTTTCTGAAAAATGGTTATCCTTCGATTTTGCTGATTTTCACATATTTTATTCTCCTATACATGAGCTACATCATATAAAAAATCCAGAATGGGCCGACGTCTACGTAACTGTCTTTTGGACTTCGTAATGTCTGGCACTCGCGCGTTTCGTTTTAGCAACCAAGGAGAGGCGCTACCCGAAGATGCTTCTTTCTATCCCAAACCAAAGCAAACCTAACCTGACCTGACGTGACCTGACCTAATCTAGAACGCGTAAATATGTACAGCCCTTACGGCAGTTGCCGACTGGCCAAATACCTACTGCATACTTAGATACGAACATTGGCTCTCACGACATTTGCCGGCTGGCCAGATGCTACTTAAAAAACGAATGCGTGTCAAAACACTTGAGGCTACCGGCCGCGAGCCAGCGACCTTTAGATTACGAGGTGGGGTACACTCGGCACACTAACTACTAAGCCATGAAGGTAGGTGGTCATCGCGGAGATGTAAGCCAGTTTTTTTTTAATGATGCAATTGGGCATTCTCCGGGCAGCGCCTCTCTTTGGTTGCAAAAAGGAAATACCTACGCCTGGCTTTCCCAGCGCTAGGGGAGAAAGACCCGGTTTAGCCAAAAAAGGTGTTAAAAAACGAAATTTGAATTGTAACTGGGGCGGTGGGGAACTTTATCGTGTGCCAATTTCATGTCCCTAGATCAATATCTTCAAGATCAAATGAGGTTAAACGTGACCAATTTGCTTTAGTGACTATTTTGCGTTTATACGCCCATAGCTCTAAGAGCTACATGCTAGCCGATTTTCCTATTTCTTCCTTTATACGACATTTGTAGTGTTATGAAAATCTCTAGTTAATCTAACCATAAATTTGGCAGTTAGTGGCCGGCTAAGAGAAAGATGACGCCGGCAGAGGCGGGGATCGGCCGACGCGGGAAACATTTCAGTCAAAGGTTGTGTTTGCACCCTAATAATTCAATTTTTACCAGTTAATTTTCGTATTTATTTGAGCATTAGATTGCCTGTACATTTTTTAGCCTTCACACAAAATTTGCTACGAATCGATCGTAATCAGCGGTAACAAGCGCAGTGCAACGATGGAACCGTCCCGCGCAGGCACAGTCTACCATTCAGGCGGCAACGGCCGGCGCCGGCCGCAGCGCCGCTCCGGCAAGATCTTTGACTTTACGCCGCTATAACTTGAAAAGTTGTGGACCGATTTACCTATTGCTTGCACGGGAGGATTTGCAATTCAATTCTGGACAGTTACTGAAAGTTTGACGTAAATATATAAAGTATGGCGTGAGTTATTGGCGAAAAACAGGTGGGTTTGGCGAAATCCGCCCCTTCCACCGCCCGTGCTACGTTGCACTACTTGTTGCTATATCATCCAAAGTTATCGTTGGCCCACTCTAATTTTCTCAGCACGTGTGCCTTACGTGTAGTGGAAGACAATATCTAAATTTGAGCAAAATCGAAGGGTACCCATTTTTCACAAATTAGATTTTAAGGAATTAAATCAAAATAAAATAAATTAAAAATCATCAAAAAGTGTAAAAATTGACAAATTTAACTAGCACAACTCCTTACGTACACGTTTCAGTTTGTTTGAAATTAAAAGCTTCAAAAATGTTGAAGCTATAGATCTTTCAAGATTGCAATACACGTGCAATTCTGCTAAAAAAGCAGAAGTTTAGCGGCTTGTATCTCTGTAACCCGAGGGCATATGACAAAATCCTTTCACCCTCAGAGGTTTCACCCAATAGCCAATAAGTATACCAAGTTTGAACAAAATCGCAGAGGTGGCCGATTTTGGCTGTCCCGGTTGACATGGAATGCCCCTATACCGATACCAAACCGAAACCAACTTAGTATTTGGTATTTCAAGGCGAATGCATTTGGTATTTTGTTGGTATTATGAATCCTAACAAGAGTAGGTATAAGAAGATGAGAATCTGGTAAAAAGTTGGTATTTCCCTCATATTCCCAAAACGGTTCGGTTTCGGCATTTTCATGGGTATTGTTGGTATTTGGTTTGGTATCGGTATCACGATTTTCCGTGATTGACATCAATAAATTACACAGTTGGAATTCAAGATTAAATATTTTTGCTCAAGCTTGAGAGTAGTTACGATAAAAATCGACAGTCACTGATTTATAAGAATGCAAAGTTCGAGAACTTTTTACAGAAATCAGCACATAAGATCCCATGCCGTCATTAATAATCGACAGAGGGTGTCCACCCGCCCATTAGTAATTGATTACTTATGATGACATGACTGATAAGCTGAGTATTTCCCTTCTCCTTCACATTGACGTAGCATTGTTATTAATTTTCTTTGAACTGATGTAGTTTAAAAAGTAGGCACTCCTCTTGTGCTCCTTTTCTAAACGATATTCAATAACGATTCGTCTGCATTTTCCCATCCGTAGGTCACATCAGCCGTGCTAGCGATGGAGATATGCAGACTTGTGATGAAGTTTTTTTTTGCGAATCGGTAAATCTGGCTACAGTAGCACCATGCATCACCATAAGGCAAGATTAAATGGCCAAACGAAGTAAGTCTTTATCGGAAACGGGATAGCAGTCTTTATCGAACTGGGACAAACGACATTGCCGCCATTTTGCTGCCTTGTCCTCGCAGCGAAACGGCTCCGCTAAGAATCGATCCGTTGACCCCCACACACTGCTCAGTGGGGTCAGAGCCTGCCCGTCTGTCAGTAGTGCACGTGGCACCGCCGCGGACCCATCAGTCGGAGTCTGCGTGTCTTCAGACTGGGGTTGTGAAGGATCCGTAGGGAGCAACCTCTGTTCATTAGCAGCATCCCGGTGACAGTGGCAGCCCTGATCGGCTAGGAGAAAAGTTACACAACAGTGAACATGGATAAGACGTTGTGGGTGATACTGACCTGTCTTCAGCTGAAATTACTTCTTGCACAGGATGATGAAGGATACAGCAGAACATTGTGAGTGCTCAAGAAATGTATTGTCTGTTTTTTATCTGTTGAGCCTCAACATTGATGTGTATTTCGCCACATTGTCTATGAACAGTCGCACGGTACAAAAATATAGCGTTGATAAGATTCTATACGTAATAAAAAGGTAATAATATTAGAGAAAAAACTTGATAATGATAAATAATAAAAATAACTGACTTATATTGAATGCAATCTTCCATTGACGAGCTCGATAGTTTCACATTTCAGAAACCTTTCGGCAGATTCACATTTCATTGCTTCTACTCCTGAGTATTAGCACACACACTTCCAAGTGACTCAAAGCCTGTGTTTTGTTAATTGATCCGCTGCTGCTCATGATCTCACTCGTTCTGTCCCTGATTTGCAGCCTGACAGCAGAGGAGAACGCCAACCAGACCACATGTCGATCTCAGGCACTCTACAAGGTGCTACCCGAAGGCTACGACAAAGAAATGCCGCCGCTGGTCAAGGGCAAAGCTCTAAGCGTGTACGTCTTCTTCTGGATCATCTCAGTTACTGAGATCAACGAGATGACGCAGGACTTCACGGTCGACATGTACTTCCGCATGCACTGGACCGATTTCCGCATCACCTACCCGGCCTGTGAAGAATCGTCGTTTGTTATATTAGACCGAGAACAAATCGATCAAATCTGGGTACCCGATATCTACTTCATCCAATCGAAGCGCTCCAATCGTCACGAGGTGGTACGGAGGAACGCCGGTCTGAAGCTGACGAGAAATAACGAGGTTCAGTTCTCAGAGCGACTCACCATCACGAAGTTCTGCGCCTTCGACTTTCGCTTCTTCCCGCTGGACCGTCAGGCTTGTTCGCTAGCTGTTGAGTCCTACGACTTCAGCGGCAGTGAGATCCACGTCTCGTTCAAAGAACCTGGAATCTACCTCGATAACTCCAAGTTCAAGATCCCGCAGTATCACCTCAGCATGGTGAACCCGCACGACTGCTCCTATGAGTACCTCCACGAGGGCATGTATCGCGTCAACCAAAGCTGCATTCGAGCCGACTTCGTCTTTGATCGCCAGTTTAGCTACTACTTTATTCAGATGTACTTGCCGTCAATTCTCATAATCCTAGTATCTTTCCTGAGCTTCTGGATTCCTGTGGATAACGTTCCAGGTCGCGTTTCTCTCGGAGTAACCTCTCTGCTGACCCTCGCCACCCAGTTTACAACAATGCAGCGTTCGCTACCTCCAGTTTCCTATATGAAGGCAATGGATATCTGGATGCTCTACTGCATCCTGGTTGTCTTTTTCGCGATGGTCGAATTCACCCTGGCGTATCACTTCCGTGCCACAGTCGATGAGCCTGAGAGCACCAAGTCGCAGGATCTCTCCTCCCAAGAAAGCATCAGCAAGGTAAAGGAAGGGATTTCTCCTCTTGAGGCACCAGGCCAGCGTCCAAAAGCTCGCGATATTGCCGACAATGCTCCGAAAGACTGGTCGCTGTCATTGTTTCAGCATTGGAAGCACCAGGCCATGCGACAGCTTACTTCTAACAATGGAAACTTCGTTGACAACGTAGCCAAGATAATCTTTCCTCTGGGATTTGTTGTGTTCAACATTGGCTACTGGAATCATTACGGACATGGACAGAAAGGCGTGTCCGTGGCCAGTGGCTAAGGTCAAAATGTGGTGGTAAAGGTGCTTCACTCTTTTTGCAGGACACAAATGCATGACAAATTTAGCCAAAGTTAGCCCCCACTTCCTGTTCATCATGTGCTGTGGCGTGTATTCTGTTTTTATAGTAGAAAACATGTTTATACTAAACTTTGTCTTTGATTTATTTTGTTAGTTACCTCTCCCATTGACGTATAATTTAGGTAGGTGGCTTCATGGACACTTAACGGTCAATGTCTACGAACTAAAAAACCGCGTTCCTTTGTAGAGAAAGTGTTATAGAGAACTTCCATGCCCATGCACAATACAAAGAAATATATTGTGTGGAAGAAATTGCAGCTTGATGATAAAATCAGCACAATACAAAGTCGCACCTGTAACAAAATGTTTGGAAGTTTAGAATAGCATTCGCCTCAACCCTCTCCGGCCGAGGAGGTGTGCCACCCACCATAGAGTTTTTTTTTCGCGATAGCTCCAAACACGATAGTGATAAAGAGCTGAAGCTGGGCATAACTGACCTTTGATTCAAGCCGGATATTTGGACACCAACCGCATTTTCGGGTCAGGTCAGGTCACTGACCTATGACGTCATAAGTGAACCTCTGCACGGTCCTCAGATGTCGCAACTTCGCAACGCCCTCACTACCAGAGGAGCTTTCACAGGGAAATAAAACTTGCAGGATCTATCATCCATTACGAGTCTCACAGCTTGTATATCTCGGATTTTTCCTAAAGGTCATATGAGGTCAGGTCATTTTCGTGACCTCACCATTATAAGTCAATGGGGAAAAATGAAAACTGCTATTCTGGCGCTGGGAACGTTCTCTAACTATCTCAAGCACACAGAATCGTGATCTGATTCACTCCTTGCAAGGTTAGATGCGTCACTTTTGCAATGTTGACCTTGCGTGACGTCATTTATGACGTCATTAGGTTCATATTAGTTTTTCGTCAATAACTCCCGATCAAATTGAGCTAGCGAGTCGGGAAAACCACCAATGGACTCAGGAAGACCTGCCGAATTGAATGATATGTGACATGACCTCCTTCGACAAATTTCGTGACCTGGGGTCGCTGACCTGATGACCGTGACCTGAGCTCAACACCCTAAGTTGATCTCACCCCCCCCCCAAAATATACCATTCGACGCGCCTAAGCGAGGCGAACACGATGCTGCCACAATCGTGGCTTTGCGATCGATTTTTGCCAAGTTATTCTCCAAAAACGGAACCGTACCTTGGGGCACTTGACCTGACCTCAGAGGTCACCGGTTAACCTAGGACCTTAAAATCGGGTATCAATAGGTATCTGCGTCTTGTAATGGCGCACACGCTCGTTTTTTCCGCGACGCGCTAGCTCTACCAGGGGCGAGCTAACGCGTAAACCAAAGTAAACTATAGTTTACTTTGGCACTTGGTCTCATGGCGCGGGAGCCGGGGGGGGGGCAGTGGGGGCAGCTTGCCCCCCCCCCCAACTCTGGGGCCGTGGGGGCGATGCCCCCACAGCTTTGAGACGGAATACCACACTTTTTTTGCAAATGTTTTCTTTTTTGTTGAAAAAGCCAAGGGATGAAAAATAAGTGGTCTAAAACCGGTGAGAAAACTAGATTTGGGGGTACCCTAGGTTGATCTCTATTATGGTGTGCCCCCCCCCCCCCCAGTCTGAACGTAGTTCCCGTAACCCTGCTTGGTCTCAGTCCAGGGTGCCTTCAACGGCTACAATTAGCTCACTTTAATGATGTCCTATGGCTGAAAAAGCGGGCAATTGGCTGTTCAGCAATACCGCGGCTGTTTATGCGACATATGGGCAACACTATGTAGTGCAGTGCTGTGAATAAGCTCCATGAGGCGTGAGCTTTGAGCTTGTTTTTTGTGAGGAGGAAAGTTCCTATACGATCCTCCACAACTGTTCACACACACACAAAAAAAAAACAGTCAGTTATCCGATTGATTGAAATTTGAATTGGAAACTGAGCTATACTTCGAACGTAAGTTGTATATATTCGTAAACATTTGACGGATTGTAGCGAATTCAAGTAGCATCATCTAGCATCAAAATCACATTTTAAGGCGCAGATTGTTTCTTGTCATGACTGATCGGACAAATCAACGTTGATAAGTTGAGTGAAACAGATGATTATATTTGTTCATTTCGCCAAGGCATAACAAAATTGTCCATTTGGCTGTTACATGGAAAAAGACAGGCTTGGGGCGAGGTTCGCCGGCATCATTTCGTAGACCCTGAAGTCAGGTCTAGTACACGTAAGACGCCACTGGTAACAACAATAAGTACCAGCACCATAAAATCTCATTGTACCTGAAAACAGGTCATACATGTCCAACTCGAAGATATCAAACCACAGCGCAACCCTAAGGCACCGAAATGACCTCCCTGCTGCTGCTCAAACATGGCACGGACGAACAGTTGCACAGTTCCCAACAAACAAACAGTTCCCAATGGTGCACCGTCCGGTGCAAATACTGTCGCAAGAAACATCACACTTTATCCACCAAAATAGTGTAAGTACGAATACGCACTCCAACAAACATTCTCTCTTGCCCACCTAACCCATCGTTTTATAGAGCTCATAGTACATCCCCTTCTTTGCCAGCAGCTCCTGGTGAGTGCCCTGCTCGACTGCCCTCCCTCTATTAACCACCACGATACAATCCGCTCCCTGAATGGTGGAAAGACGATGCGCGATCACCAGGCAGGTTCTCCCGTTAGCGGCTCGGTCCAGAGCCTGCTGCACCACCTGTTCACTCTGCGTATCCAGCGCGGATGTCGCCTCGTCCAGCAGTAGAATAGCTGGCCGGCGCACCAGCGCGCGCGCGATGGCCACGCGCTGCTTCTGGCCGCCGGAGAGCTGGGTGCTGCTGCTGCTGCCCAAGCGGGTGTCATAGCCGGCCGGCAGGCTGGTGATGAAACTGTGGATGTTGGCGTCTCGAGCGGCCTCTATGATCTCCGTCATCGGTACCTCTCGGCTGTGGACATGTGGTAAGTGACGGGGTTGGCTTTATTTCTGAACACGGTCAGCTAACAAGGGCTAGGTCCAGCAACTGTTAGCTAGACGGCGAGGGCTTACGATAAAGCTCACTGGCCGCCTTAACCCTCGCCCGTAAACGGCGATCTGCCACCTTCGCCCATGCAGGGGGGGGGGGGGGTTGGTGCGACCCCCCCCTTGGCGTTTGAAAACGGAGCGTCGTAGAGCTTAGCGGAAAAGACCAACGGATTGCTCTCGCCGAGATCTCGCGATTGGTGGTATATTTTTTGGTCCTAGGTCAACATTTGACCTACTTTTGACCGGTCAAAGGTCAAATTTTCGGAAAAATAGACTTTTTTCAACTTTCGGCGGCGATTGCGGCAAAACGGTGGGAGATATCGACTTGAAACCTTCACTATCGTGTTCCTTGATCAATTCTCTATCGTTTGGTATGTATTTCGTTTCCCTAGCTCTAAAAATGGCGCGTTGGGAGCGCCGGAAGTCGGCAAGGTCACAGTCGGCGGCAGAAATTCGAAAAATCAAAATTTAAATTTTTGAAATCTGATTGTATTTTTGGATTTGGGAGGTCCATTTGCTCCCTATAGAAGCTAATATTGCTGCATATTCCCATTGAGGTGACAAGAATTAGCAAAATAGTGGTTCGGGCGCTTTTCAAAAATAGTACCGGACGCTGTTCCTCTTGTGACGTCATAGCTCCGTGACCTGACCTGACCCGGTCAAGTTTCTTATACCATATGATAGCCAATACTTGCCCCAACATGCATGGGAAGTTTCATCACGATCCATCAACCGATCTCCGTACCACCGGCAGGAAACCTCGGGCGTTGGCACTCAGTTTGTGAAAATCCGGCCGGAGGCTGTTCCCTTTGTGATGTCATAACTCCGTGACCTGACATGACCCGGTCAAATTTTTTTTATCAAAAGATGCGCAAGGTTTGCCCCATAAGGTACCCAAAATTTGGCGGCGCTGCGCGCCGCCGTTTTTGCACTATTTTCGAAAAACCTCAGGGGGGGGGGGGGTTGCACCAACCCCCCCCTACATGGGCGAGGGTTAAGTATGGCCTGGTATGCAATTACAGCTCATTTCCACATTTATTTGCTGGCTAATATGCTCTTTTATTTTGTATTGGACAAGGCAACATCGTGAGAAATGTTCTACAAATGTGATAATATGATTCATTTGTATTCAATACCAAATAAGAAAAAGGGCGCCTTAACCCCCGCCCGTATTGGTGTTTTTCCAGCCGCGAACGTATAAGGGGGGGGGGGGGGTCCGTTGGACCCCCCCCTTTGCCGTTTCGCCCCTGATCGAGCTAGAGCTTCGCGGAAAAAACGAGCGTGTTGCCCGTGACGAGAGGAAGCCGATGATACCCAATTTTAAGGTCCTAGGTCATTGGTTGACCTTGCAGGTCAGGTCAATGACCCCAAAGGCGGGACAATGGGGACCTGTTAGAACGTCGTAAAGTGTGGCTGCTATGGGGTTTTTCGGGGTGCTGATCACGAATATCATGTTAGTTTTGATCACAGATGATGTCTTCATGTATTTAGGCCAGGTCGGGTCAGGTCAGGTCAGGTCAACCAGTAAGGGTATTCGTAGTAAGTGGCAACCGCCTCTGACAGCTTCGTAACATGTTACAAAGGCACCAAAACTACTTCGTAAATGTTCATATGGTTGCTAAATTCGAATTCAGCTCCAAAAACTGGCCTAGAAACATGTAAAACTCGAAAAAGTGAACCGAGGTCATCAAAGGTCAATGACCTGACCTGACCTTCAGGTGACCTTGACACCCACCCTAATGCATGGGGGCAACATCATATCACATGTTTGAACGCTTGAAACCAAGAAAAGACTGCAAACGCGCGGCTAATGCGAGCCGACATACGCCGAATCGCGATTCCAGCCAAACATGGTCTCGAAAAGTAGGTCACAGGTCAAAGGTCATTTGGGTCAGGGTCATGAAATTTTCGGGGTAGGTGTGAAATTGATGAACGCGAGGGTACTGAAAGTTTCGTTGCGATCGGCCGCTTTTTACGCGAGTTATTCGCAAAAAACCATGGGGGTCCGTTCGACCCCCCCTATAGGGCGAGGGTTAAAATCTTTGACCTGGCTTCTCAATACAAAAAATCCCATTTCCTTGCTTCTTCCATTCTCTCACCTGTTGTCCCCGTATGCGATGTTCTCGGCGATTGTCTTATCGAAGAGGATCGGCTCCTGAGAGACGATGCCGATCTGGGACCGTAGCCAGCCCAGGTGGAGTGAGGACACGCTCTGGCCGTCCACACTCTATAAGAAGAATAGATGAGTTGGTCTCAAGACGAATAAACTATATAACCCACTAAGTGCTCACACAACCCATTACGTTCCCATATAACCCACCACGTTCCCATGTAACTCACCACGTCCCCATAAAACCCACACCGTCCCCATATGACCCACCAGTTCCCCATATACCCCATCAGTTCCCCACATAACTCATCAGTTCCCCCACATAACCCACCAGTTCCCCACATAACCCGCTTGTTCCCCACATAACCCACCATGTCCTCATATGACCCACCACGTCGCTACATAACCCACCAGTTCCCCACATAACCCACCAGTTCCCCACATAACCCGCTTGTTCCCCCACATAACCCACCAGTTCCCCACATAACCCGCTTGTTCCCCACATAACCCATCATGTCCTCATATAACCCACACCGTCCCAACATAACCCACCACGTCTCCTCGCTCCGGATCGTAGAGTCTCTGCAGCAGCTGAACACAGGTGGATTTTCCGCAGCCCGAGGCGCCGACCAGTGCCACAGTTTGGCCCGGCTGGACCTTCAGGTTGAGGCCGCGCAGAACGGTCACCGCCGGGCGACTGGGGTAGCGGAACTGTACGCCGTCCAGACTGATGGAGCCGCTCAGTCCCGGCTGTGCAGGTCAGGTCAGGTCAGGTCAGGTCAGGGATTAAATCAGGTCAGACAGATCTGACAAGGGCGGGGGTCACTTGTCCGTGTTTATGCATGCTGAAATAAATTTCCGTATAACAAAACAATAAGTTGATCCCTAAGTAGGACCAGAAGATGCTATGATAACAGTAAGATGTGTAGGAAATACTAATTAACATTCAGGTCATATCATTGTCCGAAACGAAGCAAAATTATATAAGGCCTGTACACATTCAGCTGTTGTGCTGTTGTCAGCTGAAATAGGCTCCGCCCACCGCTTCTGGCTGACGGAACTGTATACATTTGGCTGATGAGAAATGTCAGCACTGGCTGGCTGTTTACAAATATGGCGTTGTAAACAAATATTTCGTCTCATCTTCATGTTCTTTATTAATACAATGCTTAAGCAATTAGATATATTATCAAAATATTTACAGACAATGTGCGAAAGTAATAAGTATTTTTCTTGTATCGACAATTAATTATGAAACCAAATATATGTGAATAGCGCCAACATGGTGTCCAAATTTCATTTATCTGCAGTGCTCAATAAAAATATGGCACGTGATTTGCTTTCATGCGCCACTACCAGTGTCTAAATGCGTCATTTATGGCTTTTGCTGACGGCTCGGCATCTCTGCACTTGCTTTCTCGTAGCAGCACAGCCCGTCAGCCCATGCTGCCGGCAGCAGAGAGGTGACGTCATGTTGCAAGTGCAACATAACGTCATCAATTTTTCAGCCAATAGTGTGAGTGATTTTCGGCTGACAACAGCACAGCAGCTGAATGTGTACAGGCCTTTGTCACTTACTTCAATTATTTCCGGTGAAAGCTGTTCACGGGAGAAAGGCATTCTTAATATTTCAATAAAGGTTACTGAGGGTATTCGATTAAAAAAGATGTTCAAACCTACACCAACAGGCAGAAATCAGCGAAGAGTTTGAATGTCATACCTCATTAATAGCCCACAAACTACTTTGACAGTTACAACTGCTGGTTCAAATTAGCTGACAACTAAAATTGGTACCTAGTCAAATCCAGTCAGCGCCTATTTTCGTCTATCTGATCTGCGTCTTACCAGTTTGAGTCCAGCCTGGGTGGAGCTATCAATGGTCGGTTTTCGGTCCAGCAGTGCGAACACTCGTCTGGCCGAGATGAACGCCTTGTTCATGTCCGGCGAGAAGGCTACAGCGGCGCCGATCACCATGGTACCGTATATCAAACTCTCTGTGATCCTAGGGGAGGCAGGAGACATGTCAATGGCTAATTGATGAATGAAGTTTTTAGCAGTCACACAATCAGCAGTTGTGCACAAAAATACAACATTTGATCAGATGAAATAGGAGTATTGGATAGTAGCCGCTTATAGCTGCAAATCTTATCGAAAGGTCTAAGCTCGGGAGTGCAGTTTAGTAAGGAAAAATGAGCAATCCTGAGGAAAGAAGCATATATGGAGAACTAAGGCCAACTTTCGGGGCATTGGTCTTTCGCAGTCTTACATGAAGAGGTGTGAGTAGGGTACGGTGCCGTCAATTACAAGGTGCTTTCCGATGGCGAACACGACAGCATAAGAGACGGTCGGGGCAGTTTGGGCCGCCCCGTACACCAGACCTGTTGGGTACAGAGAACAAATATGAGTACAGGATGACACTAACGTATAGGCAGGAGCAGTAGTGCTGCCGCCTACACCATGACTCAGTAGACAGATACGGAATATAGGTATGAGAGCATTCGAGTGTCGGGAGATTGTGCTGCCACCAACCCGAGACCTCCGAGGGTTAGGGAACAGAACTGGAGCAGGGATGAGTGCACGCAGCTTGAGGCCGCACCTGGGCCCACTGTAAACATTCGCGGAAAACGGACTGAACAATTATCTTATTGTATCAGTGAGAAAAAATGCCCATAATGTTTTGTAAATATCAAATAAAAAACAGCAAACTTATTACAATCCCGGTCTTGGTTTAAAAAAGTATCATAAGCAGGTGTCTTAGAATCCAATACGCTGTAACAGATAAACCCGCCTACCCTTACCTCTGAGGAACGCGCGCTTCATGTACTTGCTATGCGTCTTCTTCAGCTGCTCTTCATATCGGTCAGCAAACATGTTTTCTAGCCCGAGGCTGGCCACAGTGCGGACATTGGAGATGGCCTCTACCGCTATCTGTGAACGATAGAATAAAAACGGAAGAATAAAAATCACTGTCTACTGTTGAGCGACAGACTAATAAATATTTTGCAGACTGGAAAAAATACTACCTTCGTAATACTACGCATCCGGAAAGAGCATCAAGACTTCACGGAGTGTTCATGGGCTTCATACCTTGTGAAACACATGAGTGAAAAGAGCATGCCCATTCCAGCGCAATGGTAGCTAGGGTAGCCAGCCTTAGATCCCTTTTTCTTTGACAGCTATCTCATCTGACCATTATACCTATTATTCGTTTTCATTCCTCACCTGGTTGCCACTCTCCTGATCGGACTTTTCCTTAGCCATGTTCCCAGACGTCTGCCTGCTCTCGACATACGTCCCCAGCACACAGAGCGGCACAAACGGCAGAGCCGCCAGCGCCAGTTGCCAGCTCAGATAGAAGGCCATGCCCAGGCCGAGGAAGAGAGTAAACACGGCCTGGGTCATGTTTCCAAGCCGGGTGCCGGTTGCCTGAGAGGGGGAGGGGGGGGGGTTACTGAGATGGTACTGGCTGGGTCAGCGCTCAGTCAGTTTAATTGAGAATGTAGGGCACAGCGGTATGATGTCGCTTGGCTCCACACTGAATGTTACGTGGTCTCATTATACCGGAAGGGTCTACCCTAGCAAACCAAGACATACACAAACAAACTGCATGTTTTCCCTCATTTTATGTGCACTGACTCTGACTCTGACTCACGCCCTGTACGCTGGATGCATCACTGGAGAGTCGTGAACACAGCACACCGACAGTATGCCGCGAGTCATCGAAATAGGCCGCCTCCTGTCTCAGCAGCGCCTTGAACGTCAGCTTCCTGATCCGAGTGGTGAGCCTCTCGCCAGCCACGCCGAACATGAACACCTACAAAAGAGCGGGGCACAGCGCAACACTGTTTAGAGGGTGCAGATAAGCTACATAGGTGCCTATAATAATGCTGTGCTGCAGAGAAAAGAACGTTCATAACAAAACCTGCTCCTGGATGTGGGACCTGATGTTCATTTATGGATCGCACGCTGCAGCATGCATGCATGCACTGCGTTCGTCCTGCGATGTTACTGGAAATAACATGTCCTGATGATGGCTAGCACAGATAATGTCTTGATTGTTCAATGATTACATGTTTCAAAATACCATCCTCCTCAAATAAACCCACGCCGGAGGACATATCGTTACCTGTGCGAACGAGGCTAGGAAGGCGAGAACTCCGATACCGAGGAAGAGCAGACCGTAAAACTGAGCGTTAGCCAACGCTTCGTCCGGATCCTCCACCGCGAGATTCTGAAAACGGGGTGAACGCGAGTCTCAGTTGAGAACAGGTTTAGACGGGTCAACAATCTATGGAACATCAGACCTTAAAACAATGGTAGCAACAATTCACTGGAGAGGTCGAAATGGGCAGGAAATGAGCAATGAAGTAAAATAGTTACAAGCACGTATGGAGCCCCTTGCAAAAGTCACTTTCGAATAGGCAATTTTTTAGTATAGTGGGCTGGCCATGTCTAAGAGCAAAGTGGGTTTCGGGTGGATAACAAACCGCTCCGGCATCCGACGTTGATCAGCAGCCGTTCCGTCACTCACACCAAGAACGCCTCCAAACACGATCGCGTAGGCGGGTATGGAGCCTCCCATGATGGCTGCTCCGACCACGCCGAGCAGCAGGTAGGGCCACTCGGAGCCGTTCAGCCGCAGCAGCCTCCAGGCCGACACCGGCTCACCCTCGTCTTCCTCCTCAGTCTGTCCTCCTGCACCACCGGATTTCTGCGGAAAGAAAACGAGGAACGGGTGAGTTGGAGAGATTGAGTGAGCGCTATGCAGCTCCAGACACACAATGCCATGACAGAGTGCTATACATAGAGGGTTATCGGTTGAGGTCCAGGTGGGAGTCACTTTATAAATTCACTTCATTGGGAGCTTGCAGGGCTAAATGGGAGCCACTTTAAAATCACCCTTCCGCGGGACTTTGCACAGATAGAAGCCAACAAAGGGGAAACATCAAATCAAAAGAAGACGAAAAAAACGTTTACTAATATCTATTTTTTTACGGTACCAGCATTTCGATTCAGTCCCATCCACATCTCACGCTGACAAACAGATTTTACCAGATTTTACCGACCTTTCCTTCGGCCATCGGATGGAAAATCCGATCATAAAAACATGCTATCGCATAATTTCCGCCCTCCCACCCTCGCCGACAAGGCCGAACGTAATCAAAGCCCCCAGGGGCTCTCATAGTCAGGGACGTCGACACCGGTCCGACTTTTCCGACTAGTCGGACCACTTTTTCGACTAGGCGGTGCCCTGCTGTGGCTCGCGGGGGCCCTGCTGCTGCGACCGCGGGAGCCCCTGCTGTGGCCGCGGGGGCCCCTGTTGGGGCTCTCGGGGGCCCAGCTGCGGCCACGGGGGCCCCTGCTGCGGCTCGCGGGGCCCCCGTTGGGGCTCTCGGGGGCCCTGCTGCGGCCACGGGGGCCCCGCTGCGCCTCGCGGGGCCCTGCTGCGGCTCGAGCCCCCCCCCCCCCCTGCTACAGAATTCGGGGGCCCTGCTGCGCCTCTGGGGCCCTGCTAAACACCACGGGGGCCTGCTGCGGCCCGCGGGGGCCCTGCTGCAGCCCGCGGGGCCCTGCTGCGGCCGCGGGGGCCCCTGTTGGGCTCTCGGGGGCCCTGCTGCGGCCACGGGGGCCCCTGCTGCGGCCACGAGGGGCCCGCTGCGGCTCGCGGGGGCCCTGCTGCGGCTCGGGGGGCCCTTGCTACGGAATGCGGGGCCCATGCTGCGCCTCTGGGGCCCTGCTAGACACCGCGGGGCCCTGCTGCGGCCGCGGGAGCCCCTGCTGCGGCTGCGGGGGCCCCTGTTGGGGCTCTCGGGGCCCTGCTGCGGCCACGGGGGCCCCTGCTGCGGCCACGGGGGCCCCTGCTGCGGCCACGGGGGGCCCCCGCTGCGGCTCGCGGGACCCTGTTGCGGCTCGCGGGGCCCTTCTGTAGCTTGAGAGGGCCCTGCTGCGGCTCTCGGGGGGCCCTGCTACGGCTCGGGGGGCCCATGCTGTAGAATGCGGGCCCTACTGCGGCTCGGGGGGGCCTGCTGGGGCTCGCGGGGCCCCTGCAGCCCGCGGGGGCCCTGCTGCGGCCGCGGGAGCCCCTGCTGCGGCCACGGGGGCCCCCTGTTGGGGCTCTCGGGGGCCCAGCTGCGGCCACGGGGGCCCCTGCTGCGGATCGCGGGGGCCCTTCTACAGACCTTGGGGCCCTTCTGTAGCTTGAGGGTGCCCTGCTTCGGCACGTGAGGCCCTGCCTCGCCATGTTTGGGCCCATGGTTCGCCAGGGCCCTTCTGCGGCCCGTGGGGCCCCTAGTCTTGCAGACCGCGGGGCCTACTGTGGCTGGCGGGGAACCTGCTGCAGACCGCGTGAGGCCCTACTGCAACCCGCAAGAACCCTGTTGTGGCCCGCGAGACAAAACTGCAACTCAAGGGGCCCCCTGCTACGGCTCACCGGGGCCCTGCTGTAGGGGGGGGGGGTTGCTGCGGCCTATGGGCCCTTCTGCGGCACACGAGGACCCTGCTGCGGCCCACGTACTGGGTTTCTCACAAAGTGACATCAAAGCTTCCCTGGCCGGGGGCTGCCCCCTCCCCACTTTTCGTGACGTTCCTACACCCCTGGTCGACGGTATCAAGATAATTCCCTGTGCCGAAAAGGATAACATATAGTGTCACTACTCTAAAACAATGTATTTAAAAAAAATGTCGACTTTAAAAACAAGAGTAATTTTCAACATTGGTTTAAAAATTAACAAAAGGATCGTGTATTGAATGACAATGATTAAAATCATCTTCGAATAATATAACCTAGTTATATCATTTAATAAATATTTATTAAGCCAAATATAACGTAAGTATATATGACTGAGAAAACCAAATTATATGTTTACACATAAATATTATTCTTGCTATGTAAAGAGGGAAGCAGAACTGAGTTGATCCCTGTTGCCCACGTGACTCGTGAGTCAACTCGGCCGACTTGGCGCGGGTTCAGAGTGCTGCGAGTGCCTTTTAACCTATAATTTCTGTTGATTTCCTTGAATTGTATAATTTCGAAACCATGAGTGGTCGTTCGAGCAAAAGAGCTTACACATCTGGGCAGTGGCGGCGCCACAAATTTTCGCCAGTGGGGGCAAGCTTGAGACTGACCCGACTGTTGTCTGATAACGCCGATCTGCAAAATCCATGAGCACATTGTCCCTAGATGTTGTCATTCAAAATTATTTTGGTTTTAGGTTTCATGCATAGGCGTATTGAGTTTAACCATTAACCCTCGCGGGCCCGGAAAGGGGGGGGGGCATTTTTCGCCTCCCCTGGCGAATATTTGCGATACCTCACGAACGCTTAGGGATAGAAAGACGAAGCTTGCTGTACCTTATCCCCCATTAGTTTGACATCTTTTGAAGCAAAAAATTTGGACCTAGCCTCCTTGATAATGTCTCAGAGCCGATTTTTCTAGACTCCTGCACGGCAAACTTCGTCGTCACGGACGTGAACTTCAACCAGCTGCCAAAAATTGAGTTTTAGAGATAAAGACAAATTACGAGCACGGTTGTGTAGCATTTGACCCAGAAAAAAATACTTAAGTAACTTTGGTGACCTGAGGTCAGAGGTCAGGGCAACGACCCCGAGCTGGGGCTTTAGTTTCTTTTTTTCGCAAATAACTTCAACAAAAATGGTTCTGGAGCTACGGCAGTGGTACCTTCGCATTAGTCTTGTCGAGACGCGTCGAATGACATATATATTGTTTGGAAAAGGTCAAGTTTTATGTTGACCTCATGTGACCTCGAATGACATTTGGTTGATTTTTTACACATGGAAGGTCATTTGTGATGATTTCGTAGCCGCGGATCACGATTCTTGGCCTCTGGCATCCATTTTGCTGTAAGCATTCATTTAGAGCCTCAGTATGGCAAAACATGTTTTAATTATTATGCCTGACTTGAATAGTGAAATAGCCTCTAGCAAGGATACTCTCTTGTGACTTTGACCTCGTAGCAGTCTTGTATCGTAAGCTTAAGCACAAATAGGGGTCCGCTAAGCTTGAAAACATATCAAAACATCTCGGAATTTAGTATACAAGATATAAGAAAAAGTGCAAAGTTTGTGGTCAATTTTGAGCATGATCGTGACCTTGAATTTGAATGTTATGCACATCATCGGAATCCACGGATTCTCTTCTTTTGTTCAACATCCCTTTTAGCCGATTTTATGCACCATGCCGTCCTCTGGAACACGTACTTTGAGACCACTACATTAATGCCGGTTTTTGCCTTTGACCTTGAATTCTGACCTTGAAAACTGACCTGAGGTCAAAAAGTTTCGGTGCTTTAGAATCTTCTCATAGATACTTTTCGTTTGGTACCATTTTTGTTTCAGTAGCTGCCTTATTAACGGAGTTTAACAGGGGGGGGGGGGCTACCCCGGGCTGCGGTGGTTAGGATTACCCCCGGGCCGCCCGGCCGAAATAAAACTATAAAACTAGATTGCGAGACACAAACCTGTGAAAACTACTGAAAACGTTATGTTGTTCGTTGAGATGTAAAATGGTGTGTTCCTCAAAACTATAGTCAGTACCTATTTCTCATTTTCCCCGTAGTACGTATATATGTGCGATTCTCTCACATACGATTGATATAGGTACGAGAATAAGCTCCATTAGGGCGACCCACATACAATTCCAGATAACCCGGGATATACATACCTATCACATTTTGTCATACCTCTCTGAGCTCAGTCTCAGTCTAAGGGTTCCCAAAAGAGGGTGATCTCTTCTCTGGCCGACTTTTGATAAACTGCTTCTCAACCTCCTCGAGATTAAGCTCTAGGGCAGCCTTTTGGTGAATGAAAATGAGTAGGAGAATGAGTGGGAGTACGAGATATGCGACAGACGGTCCGAGAACGAACGTTCTGCTGACGCACTTGATACGAGGACCGTCAAAAACAGGCGTACTATTATAACCGCCTATAATGAATGTTGCACCGGTCTTCTGTTCCCATACATCAGCCAAATTTTGTGGGGGCAAAAACATAGTCTTGCCCCCACGGCCTCCTGCCAGTGGGGGCAGTCTGCCCCCACTGCCCCCACGGTGGCGCCGCCCTTGCATCTGGGTGTCAGAAACGAAAGCGGAAGATGCTACGAGAATTCAAAGACATTCGAAGAAACTCTCCTCATATTTTCGGCCCAGTGCACAGTGGGGATTTTTCCGATCTAGCACGTCTTTATTCGTAGAGGGCAAACCATAGGTAATATTGTAGCCAGATTGTGCACAGATGTTGGCTGGTGTGTTCTGGTGAGAATTTTACCTGTAAATGTGCATAGTCAACATAGTATAGGGGTTCAATTGGACCCCCGGCTCAGCCGTTTGGCCCCTGATCAAGCTAGAGCTTCGCGAAAAAATCAAGCGTGCTGCCTATGACGAAATGAGGCCGAATATATCCAATTTCAAAGTTCAAGGCCATTAGTTGACTTTCCAAGTCAGTTTAATGACCCAACTAAAGTTGGGAAATCGAGACCTCTTGAAACATCGCATAGTTAGGGTGTTACGGGGTATTTTGGGGTGCTGATCACGAATTTCATGCTAATTTTGATCATAGACGATGTCTTTATGCATTTAGGCCAGGTCGGGTCAGGTCAGGTTAGATCAACCATTAGGCGTCCTGCCGGCCATTCATAGTAGGTGTCACCTACTACTGATAGCTTCGTAACATGGTACGAAGGCACCAGAACTACTTCGTAAATATTTAAATGGTTGCTAAATTCGAAATCAGCACCAAAAAGTACCACAGAAACAAGTAAAACCCGAAAAAGTGAACCAAGGTCATCAAAGGTCAATGACCTTGACTTGACCTTCACGTGACCTTGTCACCCACCATAATGCATGGCACCAACATCATTTCACATATTTGAGCGTTTAAAACCACAAAAAGACTGGAAACCGCGGATAATGTGAACTGGCATACGCCGAATCACGATTCCGGCCAAACATGGTCTCGAGAAATATGCCACAGGTCAAAGGTCAGTTGGGTCAGAGTCATGAAAGTTTTAGGTTAGATGTAAAATTGATGATCTCGAGGGCAACGAAAGTTTCGTCGCGATCGGCCGCTTTTTGCGCGAGTAATTTGCGGAAAACCATGGGGTTTTATCCGACCCCTCCCCCTCCCCCTCCCCACAAGTGCAAGGGTTAATAAGGTTACGGTATGTATTATTTACACTTGTCATCATATTCCTAATGAATGTGTCTCAGAAAATACGTGAATCACGAAGTAAAATTATTCGCCTCTGTCCGGAACATACCTATATCGTGCTGTTTGCCAGGGGCCGATCCAGAAAATCTCCAAGGGAGGGGCCATTAGAAACCACTCAGGAGGCCCCCATAATCCCACCTGTTGGAGGCCCCATCTTCCCACTTGTTGGGCCCCCCCCCCACAAAAAAACTGCGTCTATTGAGCTTATCTAGCTGTTCAGGCAACATCTCAACATGAATAAACGAATTATGAAATAAATGAACGAACGAGAAATAACTAAGTGGGTAGGTTAAAAAAAAAAACTCATCGGATTTCGGCCACTTTATTTTCAGGAGGCCCCCTTTTCAGCTTTTTAACTTTTTATTTTATTTTTGAAAAAAAAATAAAAAAAAATCGGCCAAGGGGGGGGGGGCATGGCCCCCATGGCCCCCCCTTGTATCCGCGCCTGCTGTTTGCCCTAGCGCTCCTAGAGTGGGGTGTTAAGATACTCTAATGTGAATATTCCGTGTTCAGGCAAGTTCCGGCAGCCAAACTAGGCGTTGACTTGTGCAGGAGAAAGTGGCGAATTTGATAGGATATATTTCGGAGTGGAAAAGTGTGGAAAACATTGTTGATTTCCTACATTTATTTAGAATACTATTCCTTCCACATGGTGTCTGTAAGGGTTTTTGCAAATGGCATTTTTGTGACCTTAGTAAGGTTGTGGCATACTTTCTGTTTGCCATTCCATTCCCAATAAAGGTGCCTTTCAGAAGATATGCAACTTAAGACCTCGCAAGATTAAAACTAACAGGACAGGACAATGAAATTGAGCTATACTTTCGGGCCTTACTAACCCCATTGAATAATCACGCACGAGTGTTAACTTTGGGCGCATTTTTCCTAGTCTTGCTGTGGACATACAGATTAAACAATGCCATATATGAAAAATTCAGACATTTCTTAGCCCCACTGACACAAAAAATAAACAAAAATCCAAAAAAGATTTTTTGAATTAAGAGGCGCTAGATCGGGAAAATCCCCACTGTGCAGTGTCAGGTAAATAGGTACTGCACTACATGCATATGCAAATTGCATTGTGCTCACCATTGAGTAACTGTACTACTCTGAAATCTGAATATTTATGTATTAGGAAAGTCAACTTATATGCCGATTCTTCTTCTACAAGATATAATTACTAAAGCCTTTGAAGAGGGCAACTTTGCGCTCGGCTTATTTCTAGATGTAAGAAAAGCTTTTGATACGGTGCACATTGATTTGCTACTACAAAAACTACAAAGGTATGGTATAAGACACAAATCACAACAAATATTATCTTCATACTTGCAAGAAAGGAAGCAATGTGTGAAAATAAGAAAAGCATACTCATCTGTCAAAAATGTTACTATGGGAGTTCCACAGGGATCGATCTTGGGTCCTCTGTTATTTATATTATATATAAATGATTTACCAAACATCAGTCCTGACGTAACTTGCCTCTCCTATGCAGATGACACTGCAATCATATTTAAAGATAAATGCATACATAGCCTACAAAGAACTGTAAATGAAGTTACTGAAAAAGTCAGTAACTGGTTTCATGCAAACTTTCTTTCTCTAAACGGCACAAAAACTTTCACACAGCATTATGCAACTCAGTCTTCAGGGTTAAAAGTAAACGTAGTACTTGATTCAACTGAAATTAAAGAGAAAGAGTTTATCAAATATTTAGGAGTCTTCATCGATAAGTCATTGAAGTTCACAAAACATATAGACTATACATCAAATATCGTTAGCAGGAACATCGGAATAATGGCAAGAGTACGCTTCTATATTGATAAGAGAACGACCCTCCTTTTGTATAATGCCCTAATTCTTCCATATCTTAACTATTGCTGTATCGTTTGGGGAAATAATTACCATGCTCAGTTAGAAAAACTCATCATATTACAAAAGAGAGCTGTCAGACTAATTGAACGAGTTTACCCACCTCAGAGCTCTGTGCCTATTTTCAAAAAATATAACTTATTAAGGATAACTGATATAGCGAGATCTCATATGCTTCTTGTTATGCACAAATTTATTAAAGAACAACTTCCAGAAACAATTAACAACCTGTTTGATTTGAGTCCCGAAGACCATGCCGGCACGAGGCGTACCACTCACTTCAACCAGCCCTTCTCTAATCGCAACTACAGACTATTTACTATCAGATTTCTAGGTCCTAGATTGTGGAATAGCATTGTTGCACCTCTTTTCACAACTGTTAATCATATTCCATCTTCAAAACAAATAATAAAGAAGGTGATACGCAGACACTTTGTTGATTCATACAACACTTAAGATAAATATGAACAATTAATGAACAATCAAAACAATAATAAGAATAATCAACCTCATAGCGACAAACATTATTCCTACCTATATATTGTGTATAGCTATACTGTTCGTATATCGTTAGGGGTTTGTATAAATATGTGCTATTTCCACGGTGTACTCTGCGTTGGAAATAGTACATATTACCCACTTTGGTTTGTGGGATGCATATGTGTCGTGTGTGTATGTATGTGTGTATGTTTCGCGTACATGATACATATGCATATGCATGTATGTACGTATGTGCATGTCATGCATGTACACAACATAACGATTCGTATATACCTATATTAAATACCAACTACAATAAATCCTTGTGTGCCGCCCTTCTCAATCATTGTCTATTTCAATTTGCATATTTGCCTTATGGTAAATATGCAAATTGAATGTAGGTTACATGCATTACCTACATTGACATCTATACAACTTATTGTACTAATTCTTAGAATACTCTAGTCCGTGCTGTTTCCTGAGGTTCTGTCTGGCAACAAGCCTAGCTTAGCCGGACGGAGCCAAGGGTTTCGGCAATAAAAATAACCTTGCAAGAACATGACCAGGCATGCTTTTCCCCACCTTGAGTATGAATGCGTATTGCGTTAATTACTAACACTGGTATAAATGATAGTTGCTTGTGTTGGTATAGTGGGCAGTCATTTTGCTTCACTTGGCAATGACTACTTTCCTCCTTTTTGGCGTACTTACTAACATTTTTTAGTAGTATTGCATGCGTTATATTTTATTTATATTTTCCACTTCTTAGCAGGGAGTGCCGCGACTTGATCAATTTATTATGTTACCTGGTGTTAAAGTAAGGTCTCTGTGCGTCGCCGGGACTGTGGGAGGGGGCACTCCTGGTTACCTGATCATGGGTAACGGACTATCTTAGAAATTAAAAAAATGGTAGTGGTTGTACTTGTGTCCCGTTGTGCTCATATGCAAGGCCGACGTCATGTGCACATGTTATGTATTTGGAGCAAAATCAGAGAATTTAGCATGAAACTTGGCCGAAATCGGGGATCGGAGAGTATGCTGCTGCAAATGCCACGAGTGCGCACAGAACTCGCTCGCCGTGCATTTATGTGCCGGGCTACCACCGCCTGGAACCGCTTGCCAGCCGAGCTCAGGAGGAGTCGTTTATTGTGTCACCCACGGAGGTGAATCGCGAGTCATGGGGAGTAGATGTGCTCAGTTTTATCGCATTTTAGCAATTTTGTAAAGCGCACAATGCAGGGTGTTGTTATAAAACGATAAAAAACAATCGCCCCGAGCTTTAATAGAAGCAGATAACCACAATTTGAATGATGTTTCCAATGTCAAAATGCTGAAACATTTATTTCTTTTATTCTTTTTGGCCATGGGCCTCGCCATGGGCCTCGCCAACAGAAAGTTATTAATTTTATTTACATTTAGCTTTTTTATGTGAATTTTGGCCTCTCTCGAAAAAATAGTGGGCCCAATTCGCTGACTTTGGTTTTTGATAGGGGGTACCTTGACCCCCGGCCTTCGCCCCCCCCCCCCCGCAACAGTTTCCATAAATTGGCACCCCTGCACTATACATTTGTATACTCATGTATGTATGTAAATGTACGTTGGGAAGCCGTTCGACACCTGGGGGCCCCCACCGGTGGGCCCCCCCCCCCCCCCCCGAGAAAAAGTCGGACCAGTTTTCCTTACGCGTCGACGCCCCTGCTCATAGTGCCATATATGACTCTCTGATAGTATTATCTAGCCAGTCCAGCTAGTAACAGCTGAGTCATCCCGGCAGTAGGTATAGGCCACGATCTGATGTCCTATCCGCTCTTGAGTGACATATGCGGTGCTAAAAAAGTGACGAGCAAGAACCCTATGCGTGCGTGGTTGACTGGTTTGCTGATTACTAGAATCAGCGTTAGGACAACAAACAAAAAACAATGCAAAAACATTAGGTACATATCAATATCCAGTTAGTTCAGATTGAGTTTATCGGGCTATTCGGTAGAGGTAACACGTAACAAATAAAAGCCCGTTCCCATTCATTCTTTTCTCTAAGTCATCATCTCCTATTTTAGCTGAGGAATTCTCTCACCTTGGCGGTTTTTCTGCGCTTCTTTTTGGAGGCCGGGCGGACGACAGTCACGGCGGTCGAGTCCCCGTTGACCTCTGATCCGATATGGTGCCCGTCGCTGGGGTGTGAGCCGGACGACAGAGTCCTCAGACGCGTGATACCCGGAATGGAAGGACGCCTCAGGGCGGGAAGGTGGAAACCATCTGTAGAAGTGGGAATTTTGTGAAGCAGAAGACGATTAAAAACAAACAATGCATACCTAGATGTAATCATTAATAGTAATACCACATAGATACATAGCTGATGCAATCAAATCACACATTGCTATGCAATCATTGCCGATGAAGAAAACGCTGATTATTTTATATGGTGTGCCTTTTAACATTATAAGCTGATAGTAACAAAACATATGTGTTCATACATCAACACCGTCAAAATCATCAGCGTCCCCCTCCCAGGCAGTGGTCCTAAAATGAAGCAAAACGCCAACCATAACAAAGTAGGCGTTCTGCTAAAATGACCACCACTCCCCTCACCTTTATCCTCCACCATATCTTCCACCACATCCTCCTCCTCCTCTGCCTCCTCCTCTACTCTTTCCTCTGCAACTTCTTCCTCCTCGCCTCCGCCGGTGATCTGTGACGTCACCAGGCCGTGGTACAGGCCCTCGTTCTTCATCAGCTGCTCGTGGGTGCCCGTCTCCACCACTCGTCCGTCGCTCAATGCGATGATGACATCAGCACTTCGAACAGTAGAGAGACGATGGGCCACGACGATTGTGGTGCGGCCCGACCGAGCCTGGAAAGAAGGGTGTCGAGTGTGATCAGACCAGAAGACAAGTTGGTGTTTAGAGTGCGGGGGTGAAAATCAAACCAGCGTGACATATAGCAATGACTAGGTATTTCCCAACATGCTTTGGGCTGCAAAGCAACCGTTGACACCGTATTCACAATCGATGTACATACATACATATCTATGAGGGAGGGTGACGGTTCAGCCATATTAAGAGGCACTACATGATAATGCTGTGAAATACCACGACGCCATATGCTGCCTTTTTTAACACAGACAACCAGCTAGTACTTACTACAACCTCTACGACGAATTTAACTCTATCTATGACCATTTTCAGTGGCTACTTACCCTATCTAGTGCAAGCTGGACAACAGCCTCGCTTCGCAAGTCCAGTGCCGAGGTGGCTTCATCCAGCAGAAACACGCGCGGGTTGCGCACGAGCGCACGTGCAATGGCGATTCGCTGCTTCTGTCCCCCACTCAACTGAGCGCCCTTCTGACCGACCATCGTGTCAAATTTGAGCGGAAGCTCTTCGATGAAGTCGTAGGCATTGGCTTGGCGAGCAGCCTGTTGTAAAGACATGCGGGGTCAGTAGTTAGTCAATCGAATGTTGAGTGGTAGAGCGTGTTAATATTCAGGTGATGAAATATTCAGCGGCGAAATGTTTGGTGTAAGCAAATCAGGAAGCGGAATGCTTGGTGGCAAGGATACCTTTAGCTGACGTATATTTTGGGCTTATGCATCACACTGAAGAGTGACAACATCGTGATGCTAGAAAGGTGAAATATGTTGAACAGAAAGTTGACAATATGCTACCGCAGTTATTGCAACTTCTTAGAAATATAAATGCAGGTTAGAAACGAACACCTTTTACGTTTTCTATCCATTGTATCTATGCAAACCTGAATCCACTTCAAACTACATCCATCCCACCGCCCCTGGACCCTGCAGCTCAACAGCCACCAAACTCGCATCACGGACCTCCTCAATATCCTTCATGGAGCAGTCGGGTCGGCCGTAGCGGATGTTCTCAGCGATCGTGGTGCCGAACAGTACCGGCTCCTGCGAGACGACGCCGATCTGACGCCGCAGCCAGGCCACGTTAAGCTCGCGGACATCACGGCCGTCCAGCAGGACCTGGCCAACAAAACATCCGAACACGTGGAGAATCAGAATCGATTAAGCCATCTAAGAAAGAGAATGCTAAAACTACAAGTCAAAAGCTACATACATTTTGTACCATCTTCTGGGAATAAATTTCCTCCACTGCATATATACGACGCAGATCAAAACGCAAGGGCAACTGGTGTGCTCTGTACGCTGATGTGAACTGTCAATAAAACAAACTGTTCACGGTCTTTGACCTGCCGCCGGGCTCATATCGGTGAGCGTCTAACCTCTCCTTGCTCGGGGTCGTAGAACCGCTGGATCAGCTGGACACAGGTGGACTTTCCGCAGCCGGAGGAGCCGACCAGAGCCACTGTTTGCCCGGGTCGAACAGCGAAACTGATGCCTTTCAAGATCTGCCGACACATAGTAAACAAACACGGCATTGTGGAGGTTAAGTGTGGAAAAATGGCAGTGGGATTCACCAAGCGGGAGAGAGCAGTACACAAGTATAATGCTTGTAAAAAATAACACTTCAACGGCTTACTTTCAGTAACTTCTAAAGCTTCCAGTACATATCAACATATGATAGGTATATTTCGAGTGATCTTACCCCTAAGAAATATCATACACACCTGGGTCTCTGGTCGAGATGGGTAGGTGAAATGGACGTCTCTCAGCTCAAGATGTCCCACCGTTTTCTCAGGCTTCAGCCCCTCCTCGCTGTTGGCATCAATCTCAGATTCTCGCTCTGCAATGGAACACACGGAGTATGTGGGCTACTGTTTCGTGACTCTCTCTCTCTCTCTCTCTCTCTCTCTCTCTCTCTCTCTCTCTCTCTCTCTCTCTCTCTCTCTCTCTCTCTCTCTCGCTCTCTCTCTCTCTCTCTCTCTCTCTCTCCCTTTCTCTCTCTTCTCTCTCAAATCGCAAAATTAGGAATCGCCAATCGGTCACATAAAACAAGGAGCTCTGTGATAGCCAACGAGCAATAATTATTCAACAAAGAGAAAAGTACCAGAATAGTGACGATGTAGGCATTTCTAATCCAATGTTGAAATGCAAAGGTAAAGATGGTGCATATGACCACCTTACCGAGTGAAAAATCGCACTTTCTCGGTCCTTACCTCACAGAGGGTGGCTGCGACATCACCTTGGTAACCCTAAAGAGAGTGTGACCTAGCGTTCCTTGGCCTTACAGAACGTTTTATGACCTCACAGACATCACCTCTAATGACCTGCAGAAGATATTACCTCGGCTCACTCACCAATGACCGAATAGACAGCTGCAGCGGCTCCACGAGCAGCAGAGAGCGCCTCTACATGAGGGGTAGCCTGGCCCACGTTGGCTGCTCCGATCAGAATTCCGAAAAATATCTGAAATCGACGGACAGCGTAAGAAAAGATCCGCACCAAAGAGCGGCAGAACAGGGATCTCATAGAAATAGAAATAGAATAGAAAACTCATAGTGAATGGGCCATAGTGAAATTACAAGTTTCCACGCAAGCTCCTTATACTATTGGTCACAGCGAAACAAGAGCCAGTGCCATTCAAATAAAGCGTTTCCTTTTGGTATGAAATGTTCATTTTTGATGCAAATCAATTCAATCACTTCAAATAAATCTGCCGCGCATGTGAGCTGATGTTCAGGCGGTAAGCATAGTATGTTTCCATAGTATGTTTTTTCTCCATCCCGTTCATTTTATTGCTGACCCCACATCCACATGGGCCGCGCTGTCTAGTCGACTACAGTATGATGTTCCACTTTTCACAGGCAATTATTTGCTTGGAGTGGAAGGCTGTGCCGCATCACACGGGCTGAGTTCACAATTTATAGCTTTGTCCCAATGCTCACAATAGACACGCTTAATTGCGTGATAAACGGCACAACTTAGCGCTCCGGTTAACTGATAGCTTCTGAGGAGTGGAACATCATTCTGTAGTCGACTATCCAATCCAGACTGCTCACTACGCTTGACTTTAGACTCTGCTCCACCATCCACCCATCCCTCCACAATCCACAAACCACCAATCCACTCTCTCCACCATCCACATATCCGTCACTACTCACAATGGTCAGTGTCCCAGCGTTGTAGAGGTCATCACCGGCGACCCGTGACTCGATCACAAGCTCTGTGCCGTACCAGAAAGCCAGCGAGAACGAAGCGTACTGAGTGAGCCACACCATGCCAACTCCAAGTGCTGTCACAGCGCTGCGGCGCAGCATGGCGGCTCGCGCGCCCTGGAGGCTCGCGGCGTACCTATGGAGACGGGAGGGTATGTTACAGTAGAAAGTAGGGGTGAGCATAGTGGTAAAAAACGGTAGCTGGAGCATTGGCACGGGTTAATGATGGAACAGCACTGAAAAAGGGCTCGGGCGTAAGTAGAAAACCAGCATATCCTATGAAGTTACAACTAAGAAACATCAGACTGATGGCTGCGTGCATAGATCTGTGTCCCGTTCTGATGTCGATGCCGCTATATCCCTCCACGACTAACCTCTCTGATTCCTTATTCTCGCCTCCAAATGCCATCACTGTCTTGATGGCACCGATCACCTCTTCAGCCACTGAGCCTGCTGAACTGTAAGCTTGTGCCTCCTTCTGCGCGAAACTTGCTTGAAGCTGCGCGCACACGAAAAAACGCAAGGTTAGGCTAGGTAGGCATATCTTCAGGCATTTCTGAGAGATTAGGTTAGGCATACCGAGGAAACATGGAGTCCGAATCATAAAGTTTTTGTGTAGCATTCATCATAAACGAACATCTCCGATACGTGCTAAACCACATTGCAATGAAACAAAAATTCGGCAATAAATTTCCTCAAAAATATCCAATAAATAAATGTGCACATGCTGTACTAGCTAAAAGGTGTATTTGTGGCCTACCTTGGCCATAAATGCCCCGGTGACAATCATGACAGGGATGAAGCAGGCGATCACTAAAGTCAGCTTCCACCCGCTGACAAACGCCAGACCGACGCCGATAAAAAACGTCATGAAAAACACCATAATCATTCCAATCTTCTCCCCAATGCCGTCCTCTATTTTCTTCAAATCGCTGAAAGCAGAAAAATCGAGCTCAATGTGAGGGCTAATGCATGTGTAGTCAATTAAAATGTTGTAAACGGTCCTACTGACTTTTGAGTATGCATTATATATTCCCGACCGGGGCTGGGAAAATGCGTTTTATTCACCGAGGTTTATGTGCGGAGGACCGAGTGCCGGTAGGCACGAGGTCCGTAGCAAAAAACCGAGGTGAATAAAACTGCATTTTCACAGCCCAAGGTTGGGAAGAGATTTACCACATGCCGTACCGGCGTAACAGTTTATATTATATTTGTAATTTTATTGTGGGGCTGCGTTAAATGAAAGATGAAATTCCATACTTTTCCCTTATTTTGGGTTTCAAAAAAGCTGAGGATGAAGATGGTGAAGCGCCAGAAGTTAGAAAAAAAGAAGTAGGTATATGAAGTCCAGCGGGAGTGAGGAAACCGTGAGGAAAACTGAAAATTTAGTGAAACGCTGAATCAAACGCGTCTTGAATGCTAGCTGGATCAATAAGTTAGAACAAAGAAGGATATGGAGTCCAGGGCAGGAGTGAGGAAACCGTGAGGAAAACTGAATATTGGATGAAACGCTGAATCAAACGCGTCTTGGATCCCAGTTGGAACAATATCAAATGTTTCATTGTGGCACGTTAAGATGCCTCTCGCATTTGAATTGTTCGTTTTTTTGCGTGCATTATGTAGTGATAGTGACTATTCTGACCATGTTCTGCAGCAATAAATAAATCGGCATTGGAGCGATACCCTTGTTTATAGTTGAAGTACGTTGACAGCAAAAGTAAGCAAACACGCAGTCACTTACTTTTGCTGTTGCTGTTAGTGAACACACAATCCGTAAATATCTTCTTTGGAATTGGTTCTTCCGCTCAGAATATTCAGTAAAACTTTGTCTGGGAAAATCAAAAAGCCCTAGGGCCGAATCGTTTCCCAAATACCTTCAACATTAGCCGAGGCGGGCCGAAGCCATTTCCCAAATGCACGTGCTAATGTTAAAGGGATATCTCGGCATGTGGTAATATATATTCCCGACCGGGGCTGGGAAAATGCGTTTTATTCACCGAGGTTTTTCAATCAATCAATCAATCAATTTTATTTAACATCCCATCATATAGGGACAAAGCATATTGGCATGATACAATACAAGGTGTCTCACACAGTTACACAATACACATCATATTCATGTGACACAAAGACGTACAAACAGCTGTTCCATGCAGCCTGTTCAGCGCAAACCAGTAATCCCGCAAACTTTAACAGGAGTGCTACGATGACACTCGTTGGGGTAAGACAAGCATATGGATCATGGCCCAGGCGTCGCCATTGTTCTGGGCCAGTAGCCAGCGCAGTGAGTCGGCAATACCATCCACTCGTCTGGGAGCGCTAATCAGGTCTCGTGACACATGCCCCCCAGCAACTCTCAATAGTGTTTCATAGTTCATCCCACACAGTGAGAGCATGTGACTTACAAGTGAGCCTGGGCAGTGCAAACGGGTCGAATTGAGCGCAGTGTGAGCCAGATCACTTAACAAAACACGACGAAGGCGATGCTCCCCGCGAAACGCGTCCCTGAAAGTATTGAATAAAGCTCGACGGAGAACTTCCTGCACACTCGGAATCCGTAGTGCCGCCAGTAGAGCTGTATGGTGCGCTGTGCGAGGCAAACGCAAGGCCGACTTGATTGCAGTCGCCTGCCAAGAATCAAGACGTAATATGTCCTCTGACCTTAAAAAGCACACAGCGCATCCATAAAGCAGAGCTGGCGATACTACCATACGCCAAAGATAGGCCTTGTCCACTGCAGTCAAATACGAATTGAACATGCCGGCCGGCGTGAGGCCGAAGAAAGCACCTCTTCCCCGGCGCATTCTTGCGCTGATATGGCCTGTAGCCTGTAGCTGCGATTGAAGTTGTACACCCAGATGCTCTGTCTCTTGTCTAAGAGACAAGGTCTGACCACATAAGACCCATCGGGGCACCTGAGCCAGTAGTTCTTTTCCAAATATAAAACAATGACTTTTTGTTAAGTGAGGGTTCGTGTGGACGAATTCTAGCCTAGAGCTCACTGAGAAAGTTGTCACAATGTCAAGCAATTTTTGCAAATTTCGCACGTTATTTGACATCAACAGCAGATCGTCTGCATAGGCCACTACGGGAATGTGATGGCCATGTACCGACGGGCCCAGTCCGCTGTCATCAAGCTGCTGGATCAGTGGCAGCAGGAACAAGTTAGTAAGGCAGGGTGACAAGAGAGCTCCTTGTCTCACCCCTCGGCGTACATCGAATGTGTCTGAAAGCGCTCCACCGAATCGGACTAGCGTTGTTAAATGTGTGTACCAGTACGCAAGGAGAGCCCAGCTCCGCGGAGACAGATAGTCGTTTGCCCTCAGTAGGACGCCAGAGTGCCATATGCGGTCAAAACATTTTCGGGCGTCCAGATTCGCAACAAACACAGCGCATTTACGAGACAGATAATACTGTGCTGTCTCCTGTACAAGCATGGTTGCCTCTCTTGTGCCGCGCTTAGATAGGAAACCGAACTGAAGCTCAGACGGGCGGAATGTGGTGCCTAACTCTTCTAGCAAAATCAACTCTAGTAGTTTAGAAACTGTGCCTACGAGAGAGATTGGTCGGTAGCTGTCCGCGCAGTTGGGGTCAAGGTCATTTTTCTTTATCAGCGGCACAACTGTGCTTTTCGTAAAACTATCTGGCACACACATTTCGTTTAGGCATGCGGTTAGAAGGCTGCTGAGAGCCTGCAGGAGGACTGGAGAGGACCCGTACAGGAGGTGTTCTGCCGAGACTCCGTCGGGGCCAGGAGACGCGTCACGATTCAACTGTGGTAGCAGACGCGCGACTTCCTCGGCAGAAATTCGCTTACCGGGACCCGGGTAAGCTCGTGCTTCATCCATTAAAGCCAGAACTCGCCTATGCACTCCCTCCTGCTCTGATGAGAGTGTCTCATCGTCGGTGTGAATAAGACCGAAATGGTCTCTGAAGTCCATCGCTGTGAGCGTGGAGCGCGGGCTAGCTGAGCCACGGCGTGCGATTTCCACGCGCCGCCAGAATGCCCTGATCTTTCGATCACGACGTAGCGCCGACAGAATGCGGGCACCAGTGTCAGCCTTGGAGCGCGCCGCCTCTGAACGCGCTCGTCTATATGCTCGACGTGCTGCTCGGAAACAATCATGCAACACGGTATTCCGCGGTTGACCAGCTTCAGTCCACAAGCAGTGCCAGAATCGGGCCCTGTCACGGGCGGCTGATGCCGCAGGAGTCCACCAGGACTTAGGTGGCTTCCAGCCTCTAGAGCATCCAACATCGGCAGTAGCCTCATGAATGGAAGCTGTCAGCTGTCTGTCAAGTTCATTTACCGTGGAGCAGTGAGGGATACGCGCTGACAGCAGATCCGCGAGGCGTCTGCAGTAAGCATCATTCCTTTCATCGCTGCTCCAGTCTAACACTACACGGTGACTGGAGTAATCATCTCGAGCTTTGGGTGCACAAAGTGTGTGGCCAACTGGGAGAGATAGTATACAGCACATTGGCAGATGAGGACTGAGGTTATCATAACACGGAGAAAGTATTTTGCACGATAGGAGTTTGCTGCCGACAAATGAGTGGGGCACAGCAATGTGATCTATGTGGGTTTGATGTCCTCCTCGCTGATAGGTGAAAGTCTCAGACTGCTCAAAACAAAATTCGGCAACGATTAGATCCTGGAGATCAAGCAGCCGCTGCATTTCCAGACTGAAGGCATTGAAGCCGCGAAGCTGGGCCCAACTTGCCGGCCGCTGGGACAGTGGCAGCCGAGGGAGAGGGCAATTAAAATCACCTACCAGCACGAGGTGCGTAACAGCTCGATAAGCGCACATTAAAACCTCCAGGCTCGCACATGTATCACGATACTTGTCTAGTTGCTCGAAAGACCCACAAAAATAAGGCATATAGCAACCAATGATGATTAAAAGTGGCCTAACTCCAGCGTTCACCTGTACCCCCAGCAATCGTGAGTCTCCAGATTGCAATTGGGAGAAGGTGAGGAGACCGCTTTTCCTGCAGAGCATGGCAGTGCCACCGTGCCGTCGCCCTTCCCCGACACCGGGCGGAGTGTCCATAGCAAATGTCTGCAACACTTCAATGTCATTAGCACCGTAGCTAAACAAAATATTACAGATCAAATTTGCTTCCGCGCAAGAGAGCCACGTTTCGGATAAGAAAAGTATGTCTAGGTCAGCCAGTAGGTCAATAATGTAAGCGGCTGCAGTTAGAAAGCCCTCACAGTTGTAGGAGCCGATGCGAAACTGACGAGTGCTTTGTTGGTCCACTGCCGTAAGCTTAGAGTTACTGGCTGAACCAGGTTCCGTTACCGTGCATGATGGCGGTGGCTGGGAGAACTGCTGTGTCGGAAGTTCTGAATTTTCGCGAGTCATGCTGCTGCCGGTGCGGGAGGCTTGGCCAGCTATCGGTTCGAAAGAGGTTTGGCTGACACTGATCATGGTGCTGCCACGAAAAACCTCCGCTGGTCTGTCGTTGCTGCTGCAGCTGAAGCCCCTGCATTTGCGGCTGTTGCGGAGGCGGCGGCGGCGGCGGTGGTGGCGGTGGGGGCGGCGGCGGCGGCGGCGGCGGCGGCGGGAGAAGCCCGTGCCGGGTCTGGCACTGATACGGGCAGGCAGGCACGGGAGGAGCCTGCCAGGGCTGGGTTCGCTCTAGCCACTGCGGTTGTGCCAGCTGCTGCTGCGCATGCAGCCCCTGCCATTCAGCTGGCTGTTGAACTGGTCTGGTCTGGTTGGGAGACTGGCATTCCCATGAAGTCTGGCCTTGGGGCTGCGCCCACGGTGGGCAAAGAGGTAGCCGCCGTTCCATTTCCTGCCCTTGCCTCCAGTTTCTCTGCTGTAGAGATTGGCGACCTTGAAACTCCGGAGGCAGCTGGCGACTCGGGTTGAACTGGCGATTCCTCTGCTGATGCTGAGTCTGTCCTCGGCGCCCACGTTGCGGCTTTTGCTGCATGGTAGTGCGAGCGGGTTCCGACGGATGCTTTCCGAGCGTCGCGTAGGTGACATGGTCCTTCGTGTGTATATCCGTCTTCCTTACCCGGAGTCCAAGTGGCCAGTTAGCTGGATTAAGGACAAGTTCTTGGTCACAGCTATCAGCTGAGAAAAGGAAGGACTTCCATTTGGTCTCACCCCGAGGGTCTAGTTTTCTGAATCCGCTGAGATGTCGCACGACGTTGGATACCACCCTGTGCACTGTGCTGTCAGGGGTGTCAGAGTTGACCCCTTCTAGGATGAAGGTAGCAGGTGATGGGCTCAGGGGCGTAACTCTAATGTCAGCCACGCTACCGGTGCCCGCAGAGGCAGGTGCGCCGACGTTATCAATGCTGACGCTACACTGGACGGGCCCACGATTTGTGCTCGGGCCGGGAGGAGGCAGAGGAGCTGAATCGCTGCTAGTTCTATATGGCAATCGACGCTGCTGGGGCTGTGCTACCGACTCTTCGCTGTCGCTGTCACAGTCGGTGCCAGGCGGACCGGAGCGCCGCTTCATTTGAGCGACTATAGCCTCGGCGAGCTTATCAATGTCGAGGCTGCGGGTCATCTCAGTGGCGAAGCTCGGTGGTGACTTGGTAGGACGATTGGAGTCTCGTTGTCCAGTTCCAGCACGGTTTTCTTCCGAAGAGGACGCAGATTCGATATGTTCACATGCAGCAGGGTGGGCTGAGGTGGTCGCAGAGTCACCCCTAACTGCGTTGGCTGGAGCGGCTGGATTGTTGGACGCCGGTTCTGTTGGTTGTGCCGGTGCCTGAGCTGCTGCTCCTGTCTGTGAGGTTGAGGGAGGGCTTGTTCCCGCTTCAGCTGCGTCTGGACCGCTGCCCGACTCTCTCGGGTGAGTCACACTTGAAGCCGCAGAGTCTTCGCTGGTATTGGAATCCGCTGGGACGTCGGCTGGCGCTGAGCAGTCTTCAGTGTTTACTGCCTCCGCTACAGGTTTTGAAGTGCCTGCTACTATCAAAGCGTGCTGAGGGGGCAGTCGGTCTGATGAGCTGGAACCGGTAGGAGGCGCCATGTCACACCTGACAGCTCGGCTTTCCTCATTGGTCGCACACCTTGCCACGCGCTCCTCCAGGTTAGCAATGCGAATCTGTTGGGCCGCGATAGTTGCTTTCATTTTCCCCCCTGAGACTCGGAGATCTTGAATTTCTCGATCCAACCGAATCATGTTGTCCAGCATTGCTTCCATATTTGCGGAGTCAGTCTGCGACAAAGTTTGTGTGGCCGAGGAAGATTGGCCGAGACTGGCTGGAGCACGACGATCCGGCGGCTTCAGAACACTGTCTGCTTCCTTCAGAAGTGCTTCTTGGGCCATCGATGCACCAAATGCCCAACAATCATCAACCAGTTTCGATACATTCCCTGGCATACGCTTCGTTAGAGGTCGTCCTGCGATAGCTGGTATTGCGTCTACCAGGTGCAAGTGGAGTTGATCTCGAAGATTTCGAAGAGACGACTCATCTAACGTTGCGAGTTTTTCTTTGGCCGAAAGTGATTCTTGATTGAAAAAGATGCTAATGTTTGACAGAATGCTGTCAACTTCTACCACCTCGGCAGGGTTTGTCATGGCTCAGGAATAGATCGTATTTCTTCAGCGTTTTGCCTTCTTTTCCTGTCATAATTTTTGTGCGGAGGACCGAGTGCCGGTAGGCACGAGGTCCGTAGCCAAAAACCGAGGTGAATAAAATTGCATTTTCACAGCCCAAGGTTGGGAAGAGATTTACCACATGCCGTACCGACGCAACAGTTATTATCATATTCATTTGATATATATTATTATATTCTTAATATTGTGTTAATATTATATTAATACTATGATCATATTTATAGTCACCGTGATTATTTTTTGTTTTTCATTATTGGGCTGCGTTGAGTATGAAAGATGAAAATTCCTACTTTCCCCTTATTTAGGGTTTGAAAAAGCTGAGGATGAAGATTGTGAAGCGTCAGAAGTTAGAATAAAGATATGGAGTCCACTTCCAGCAGGAGTGAGGAAACCGTGAGGAAAACTGAAAATTGGGTGAACAAACGCGTCTTGGATCCCAGCTGGAACAATATCAAATGTTTCATTTTGGCTTGTTAAGATGCTTCGCGCATTTAAAGTGTTCGTATTTTGCGTGCATTATGATGTAATAAGTGTAATAATCAGTTCGCTGACCATGTTCTGCAGCAATAAATACATTGGCATTTGAACGATACCTATACCCTTGTTTAGTTGAATTACGTTGACAGCAAAAGTAAGTGAAAACGCAGTCACTTAGTTTTGCTCACTTCTGCTGTTGCTGTTAGTGAACACACAATCCGTAAATATCTTCTTTGGAATTGGTTCTTCCGCTCAGAATATTCAGTAAAATTTTGTCTGGGAAAATCAAAAAGCCCTAGGGCCGAATCGTTTCCCAAATACCTTCAACATTAGCCGAGGCGGGCCGAAGCCATTTCCCAAATGCACGTGCTAATGTTAAAGGGATATCTCGGCATGTGGTAAAAAGTATTGTTTATGCGGATAAGCATTGGTATTTAAGATCTTTTCATGGTGGCTCTGGTTCAAATGATTAAGGAATTTATTATATGAGTATATCTTTTTAGTTGCTTACGAGTAAAGGTACGAGAGAAGGAAGACCCCATACATCTATCGACTTTAATCACGAGACGCGTAGTAAAGATCAATACAGGTGCGGTAGTCGGTACCCCAACAATATCTTATCAGAGAATGAGACATGAGCCAGCAATAGAGCTCCGACTGCCAAAGGGCACCAAGTGATAAATTTTACAACACGGCCTACGATAGATTGATATGGACGGTATGACTTGGCGCTTGGTTCTGAATAATAGCGGAAACAGATAAACAAACTGGTACTCGGTGGCACCAGCTGAGAGTATTGCAACTTCTTATCTGGCTAGAATTCTGACAGGGTCAACGGAAACAGGCTTATTTATAGTCGAAAAGGAACACTTGATAATTCCTTTAAATGGTAAGATAGCAACCCGTTTTGTTAGGACCCAGTCACCCAGCAATAAACAGCCTCTATAAAGACGTCACAAATATGACGTAACAGCTAAAACTCCGACCTCAGAGGGGCTTCAGTGGAGGTAGAATGCCAGTCATCTTGAAACATCTTTCGTTTAACATATGACCGGAGCTTAACTCACTCTGTGACTCGAGTAGTGAAGTTTCCCATTTGTTTGGTATCGTACCACGATATGTCTTGTCTCAATGCTGAACGGAAGAACTTCTGCTTCAAACATCGTGACTGAAAAAAGAAACAACGCACGTGAATGGGCATATAGCGTTCCCATAAGTACCTATAGTGCAGAGAGAGAGAAAGAGAGACAGACAGACAGACAGACAGACAGACAGACAGACAGACAGACAGACAGACAGACAGACAGACAGACAGACAGACAGACAGACAGACAGACAGACAGAGCTAGAGACAGAGCGAGAGAGAGAGAGAGAGAGAGAGAGAGAGAGAGAGAGAGAGAGAGAGAGAGAGAGAGAGAGAGAGAGAGAGAGAGAGAGAGAGAGAGAGAGAGAGAGAGAGAGAGAGAGACGGAGAGAGAGACAGAGGGAGAGACAGAGGGAGAGACAGAGACAGACAGACAGACAGACAGACAGACAGACAGACAGACAGACAGACAGACAGACAGACAGACAGACAGACAGACAGACAGACAGACAGACAGACAGACAGACAGACAGACAGACAGACAAATAGAGACATACAGACATGGGCAAAAGACAAAAGTAGGATACAAATAGCTCAGCGGACAGGCAGACATACGGACAGACGGGAAAACGGACGGACGCATGGACAGACAGACAGACAGACAGACAGACAGACAGACAGACAGACAGACAGACAGACAGACAGACAGACAGACAGACGCCGCTCCCTCACCTGTCTTGCCGCCGCGTAGTACAGACAGAACACAAATGACATCGTCGTGGCCATCTGCAGCGCCGATGTACCGAGAATACCGAACACAAACACGTCTATGGCATCGCTCAGCTTCCTGGCAACAGAATGAGTCACAACAGCTCAGTTTCATGGCAACGGAATCATACCGGTTGATAACAAATTACGAATGCAGAAGCGACAAGTTACCGGTGGCGGCTCATATCAGTTTCGGGCGTTTAAAGATGAATGATAAACGAACAGGTACATACCTACCGCTCTTATTTGGATTTAAATGGTAAAACATTTGGAAATTTTAATTTAAAACGTAAAATATTCTAGCAAACTCACGGATTCCAATTCTCGAATCTCAGATTTGCCACTCGTAATTACGGCCGTCCAAATATATCACTGCAACAACACATAGCTCTAGCTTCCGAGCTCTAACTCCATCTACCAGCCTCCAATTCACTCCTTCTACCAAACTCCCACTAACTCGGGCGCAGCTTTCAATCCCCCAAACTCGCACTCACTCTGCACTCCCGTCGGCCGTCTGGTTGAGTCCAAACTCCGCCAAGGCCTCTGTGACGTTCCCAAACACGACAACAACTACCGGCAGGGCCATGGACGACAGTACTGCTGCCAGGAGTCCGGCAGAGATGAGCCATCGGTCCTTTTTGTCGGCGTACCGAAACAGCTGGCGAAAAGGCACCGGTGGCGGGCCCGACTCTTTGGCAGGCGCTGCTGGTGGCTCCTCCGTGCTGTGACGTCAGAGAGCAGTGGTGACGTCAGAGAGGAATGGTGACGTCAGAGAGGTGTATCGATGTTATGGGACTGGTAGCAAACGATGGTGTTGTGTCTCAAGTGCTGACATTGACCAAGCCAAACTATAGGCCAAAGATCCAAACATCTATGTAAATCGGATGCTTACCGTAAACCAAAAAGGGACTGATTTAATAAATAATGAAACTATAATACAATTGTCGCAGCGACAAACAAAATCGTAAGACAGGAGCCATATTGCTCTATGCTCAGATTTCGTCATGGTGAGAAACGGTTTGCTGTTATTCGATAGGTATGCCGTTACCAAAATTCAGAAACATCCTTCCACTTAATCCGAAATTTAGAAACTTTATCTACAAATTTGCAAACAAATGCGTGGGCTAAGGAGCCTTACACCATCTAATGATTCAGTAAGTGATAAGTTTCGGTGACTAATAATGTTAGAACCAGCCAAGGCGACCAGCCCAAAGCAATGGATTGTTCGATACTGTCGTCGGTTGCCATGACAACGGAATGACGAAACATAGAGAAGTACAGAAAGGCGGTAATGTCACGGACATCGAGTGCACCTAACATTGCCTTTGAGTTTATGCATAGGAGCAGAGGTGGTCGTCCGGTCGACTTGGGCCTTGGCCCGCGCAGACACATGTTTCTGGCATTGCGAGCACTCAATTATGTTCCACCGTGGCCGTAAAGTGTCGTCTAGTCACTGGAGAACATGGCAGGCTTTGATCGTTAGCGAGTGGAGGCAATCTAAAATGCCTCTTACAAACGCGACCACGTTCCAAAAATTATATGACATCCTAACAAAACATTCTAAAGGGACGCAAGTATAAAAGTTGCAACCAAACTACATACAACTAACTTTGAGCCAACTCCCAAAAATTTCTTCATGGAGTGAGGGTGTCAATGCTGGGGATGAAATATGCTTTTTATGCAAAATATCAGGAAAAGTAGAAAAGGTAACTCCGAGAAATTCTTTCAAACTCTAAAACTGCGATCGAGCCCAATAACCCACATGACAGCAAACTCAAACACTCGTACTCACCAAACTCCTCAACTCACTCACCTGAGTGTGACCTCGCTCATGGTAGCGAGTTTGCTCTGTTTCAGCTGGATCTCCGGAGTTTGGGTCCCCGGGTCAGAGTAGTCTTGATCCTCAGGTACCGGTGCCATCGTGAGGTCGTTCCAGGAGTCGAGGCTCGACGTGGACCCTGTGAGTGACACACGTCAGAAATACTATTTTTTCTTTTGGAAGGTTTATGGTTTGATTTAATGAATCGGCGAATCTGGGAATTCATTAAGAATTACATACTTGAAACATTTCTTTTCTGGGGGAAATAGCAATCCTTCGCGCACAGTTGAGAATGCTTCTCTTGAAAAAAAAATTAATAACAGTGTCGAAATGCTTTTAAACGCCAATTTAACTGTAAACAGCATTTTAGAGCTAACATCAACGATGGCCGAGCGCACATCAAGTAGCTGGGGAAGAGTGAGGAGACGGCAACGGGTGGTGTGGTCGCGATGGAGGACGCAAACTCAAAAAGATCATGAGCTCAAAATAATAAACAGGCTGTATCTCTATTTTCCTCAACATCCTACTGTGTGTCTGATGCTAAAAGACTTCTTCATATGAAAAGATACGGGTGTGAATCGGCCGGCATATGATCACTTTTGTAAATATACACAATCGTCTCGATTATGCATCTCGAGGTATCGCTTCACACCAGTTTTCACACCTCTGAAACTAGTTCTCACACTTTGGTGCCCACTGTAGCATGGCTCGCACGCATATCTATGCCTACGATATAAACAGGGAGAAATGGCCGGGAAGCTGGCTGATAGACCTTGGTATCTGGCTGCTTAGATTTCGTATATTAGATAGACCAGTATAACGCCTTTTGTGGCGACTAACGGAGCGAGCGAGAGGGTGGGCCTTGCACGTGCGAAATTGCGAGGGGGTACCTCCAACTGACCTTGTGCACGGCACCTTACTAACCGGTCTCTAGCGATGTGCCAAATTTGAGCACAATCGGCCCAGCCGTTCTCGAGATCTGGAAGCGGCACCCTGCACGTGCGCACGTGCAAAATGGGTCCCAACTGACTTGTGCACGGCACCCTACTAACTGCTCCGTAACCGTGTACCAAATTTGAGCGCAATCGGTCCAGCCGTTCTCGAGATCTGGAAACGACCCCTGCACGTGCGCACGTGCAGCAGCACCCCAACTCTGGCACATGGATATGCATTGCCTACAAGGTGCCTACCTTCATGCCAACTCTCAGCGCAATCGGCCCAGTAGTTACCGAGATATTGCAACAATTACAAAAGTGACACCTCTTCGTTTTGCACGTGGCACGTGCATAAGGGGTCACCCACATGCATCGGGAATAGTGCAATACTTGGTAGAAGGAATGAAGCTACCCTACAAAAATTACCGCGTGTAAATCGGTCAAGTGGTTGCTGAGATATAAGCCTCGCAAAAGCGTGACCACGGCCGGCCGGCCGGCCGGCCGCTCATACTCAGAAATTTCCGTTAATCTAAGGAAAGACTACGCTCGCTTCGCTCGCTCCGTAACAATAGCCGTTTTCACGACGGGCTATCCGGCGAGTGCACCTGATTTGACCAAATCAGCACCTAATCTCTTTTATAGCAAATATCTTTATTTTATGATTTTTTTTTCAGTGTTTTAACCCGGCAGTTGCTGGGGTATTTCGTCACCCACCGTTTGCTGGGGGGGGGGGGGGGGGCGTTAAACACCCCCAGCCGATAACTCGAGAACCAATAGGCGCAGCGAAACGCACGAGGCGGCAAACGAAAGAACGCGACGAGACGCTTCAGATGAGTACTTTAAAGTTGAATTTTGAGGTCACAGGTCGGGTCAAGGTCAGGTCAAACACCTGAAATCGGGCTTTCAGTAGCATGGACTTCAGGACTTCGCAATGGGCGCCTCTCGTCATAAACTCTGTCAAAACGGTGCACAATCCATCATATAAGGCCTACAAGAGTGTCAGCTCCATGTAGGGGTCAGTCAAGCATAGGTCAGGGTCAAGGTCAGGTCAACCGGGTAGGCATATATCCCCGAAAATCAAAACTGATATTCGCAGCCCGTGACACATGTTTTATGGGTAATTTGGGGCGTAGAACACGATGGTGACATTCATTTTATCATATGTGTACGTGCTTGGCTCAAAAAGTTCAATTTAAGAAATGCATGTATCATGGTCGTCAAGTAGTCACGATAAATTGCCAAGTTTCAGTTCAAGAATTTGGAAAATGCGGAACGATAATCAATAATCGAAGATAGCCATTTGATTGTTCATGGTATTGGCAGTCTAATGGCGTTTACGGCATGTCTGTATGTCTATTCTGTGATTTTATATGATTTTTTGAACATATGCCGTTTTTGGTCGAAAACTCAGAAATCATGACGTCACTAAAACCTCGATATCTCAAAAATTTTCCGACCGATTTTTTTGAAACTTTGTCACAATAAACTTCAATCAATTTCCTACAGGTACCCAAAATTTGGCGCGCCGTTTTTATGCTATGGCCCGGCGAAAAAAGTGGGGGCGTTTAACGCCCCCCCCCCCCCAGCAACTCGCGGGTTAATCGATGATACTCTCTGAAAATATGACAAAGCAGGCATATAAGCAAATAGTGGTGCAACCCTAGCTGAAAGCTACTAAGAGACACACTGAACCTGATTTGACCAAATCTGCACCTGATCTGCACCAGATGTGCACCAAATGTGTACCAGATGGCCGTCGTGAAAACGGCTAATGCAGTGCAATGATGCCTACAACGAAGCGGTATATTCAGTGGACCATGTATAAGACAAAGATAAACAGTAGAAAAATCCGCATACTAATGCATAAGTTAATTACACTTGCTTAACTATAAAAGAATTTTCTTGAACCCATTTATACCATTTTCTCGATAATATGATAACAATTTTCCGTTGTTTTTTTCTGATAGTCCCGATGACTTATTTTTGTTCGATATTGAAAGTTACGACTTTACGAGTAGGTACAGCTTTAAGCTGTTATAGTCGATTTTTGTGGTCTATCGGATCGTTTAAGCGCACAAATAAATATGGCACGAGACGAGAAGCAGGAGTGAAAAGAAGGTCAAAAAGTGAAATCAAGAAAATATCCTTTTTTGTCCTAATTTCAGCAGATTTTCAGCCAGCCAGTGTTAAGGGCATTGACCTATGATGGTCAAAGGTATACCTCAATATATTGAAGCTTCACCTGCGCTTTCCAGTAAAGCGCTTAACCCTCGCCGGCCGAGGGGGGGGGCGGGTGCCGCCCCCCCCCATAGGGTTTTTTCGCGATAGCTCCGAACACGCTGGCGATAGAGAGCTGAAACTTTGCATACCTGACCTTTGATCCAAGCCGCATCTTTTGACACCAACCGCATTTTTGGGTCAGGTCAGGTCACTGACCTATGACGTCATAAGTGAACCTCTGCACGGTCTTCAGATGTCGCAACTTCGCAACGCCCTCACTGCCAGAGCAGATGTCACAGGGAAATGAAACTTGCAGGATCTAGTATCCATTATGAGTCCCACAACTTGTATATCTCGGATTTTTCCTAAAGGTCATATGAGGTCAGGTCATTTTCGTGACCTCACCATTATAAGTCAATGGGGAAAAATTCAAACTGCTATTCTGGCGCCGGGAACGATCTCCAACTATCTCAAGCACACAGAATCGTGATTTGATGCACTCCTTGCAAGGTTAGATGCGTCACTTTTGCAATGTTGACCTTGCGTGACGTCATTTATGACGTCATCAAGGTCAAATTAGTTTTTCGTCAATAACTCTTGATCAAATTGAGCTAGCGAGTCGGGAAAGGCACCAATGGACTCAGGAAGGCCTGCCGAATCGAATGATATGCGACATGACCTCTTTTGACCAACTTCGTGACCTGGGGGTGCTGACCTGACCTTGACCTGAGGTCAACACCCCAAGTTGACCTGACCCGGACAAAAAGTATATCATTCGACGCGCCTGAGCGAGGCGAACACGATGCTGCCAAAATCGGCGCTCTGCGGCCGTTTTTTGCGAAGTTATTCACCAAAAACTGAACCGTACCCTGGGGCACTTGACCTGACCTCAGAGGTCACCGGTTGACCTAGGACCTTAAAATCGGGTACCAATCTCTGCGTCTCGTAACGGCGCACACGCTCGTTTTTTCCGCGACGCGCTAGCTCCACCAGGGGCGAAACGGCGAGGGGGGGGTCGTACCCGCCCCCCCCCCCCCTCGGCCGGCGCGTATGTAGAAAACCAATAGGTCCGGCGAGGGTTAAAGTGATTATACAGGCTTAGAAATACCACCAAAGCAGCAGACGAGCCATGTGTGATATGTGCGGTGTTTGTGTGCTAATGCCCCGCTATATGGTATGTTGTTGATGGATTGTCACGTTTCCCGAGACAGTAGGCTGTGCTATGCCAGAACAGGACTGCAGTGGCCTTGGACGCTGAGCTGTAAATGTGCATATTTATGGGAATATGCATGTCTACTCTACGAACTCCAGTACGGTAGCCTCTAACTAAATGCGTATTCTATGCCATTCGCTGCTGCGTCGTTATTACTTGTGCATTCATATAAATGCTAATCTTATTCTCAAATAGAAAAGTAAGATATGATTACGATTACATAACATATTTTTATTTTTCGAAATAAGGCAACTTTTACGCTAAATTAGTATGGATAATGCTTCCATTAGACAGGTCTTCCATAAGACAATAAAGCGTAAAAACGATAATACATTAAATGCATACTTCGTTGATTCGCACTTCCAAACCGTGGTCAACGTCAGGAGTTCACAATTTAAGGGCCAACACAACAATTGCCCGCTTCTCGTTCAGCGTGGGAAAGCAGACTGAGCCACTTCGGCGGTAGGTATGTGTTGTGTTGCGGCACAGCCTCAAGCCAGGCTGACACTCGAATGATTTTGTGGCAAGCATTGGTAAGAATCGAATCCTGTCAGTTTGTAAACTAGTCGTAAGCTGACGTGAAATATGCGTAACCTCGTCGCGACTACGTGCCATGTCGGAACGAGAGTTTTGAAATGTTCAAAATTTTGTTCACGGTAAAATTTCGAGACCGGATCGTGAACTTTTTCAAACTGTTCGTGAACTCATCGTGAACTCTTCGGGTCACTGCGAAAGAATGCGTGCTAATGCGTGACAATGCGCCCGCCCCATGCCGTGACTGTCACATGCTGCCACAGAGTTCATGTCGAGCTCACGAGTAGTTCACGAGTAGTTCACGACATGTTCACGAATCAGTGGGCATCGCAGTGTGGCCGTGCCTTTTCACTGACACCGTCACGTGTACTTCACGTATTTATGGCGAGAATAGTTCAAGACGAGTTAACGCACTTCACGAATATTTCGCACATGGCACAGGCAGTTCACGAAAGTTCACGAGTAGTTCACGGCCACTATCTGACAATGGCGCTCACACCGGTGCGGGGTCGTCCTGGGCACTGCTCGCCGTTATTGGAGCGTCATAGTTACTACATTTTTTCAATTATTGGACTGCCATATCAAGCTCGTGACTTCTGGTCAACCATTTCCTGACCATTTCCAACCAACCACCAACCATTTCCTGACTGAGCTGGGGACGTCCGTCGTCTTTGGCTGAGACGAGGAGTTTGGGAATGGGCCTGGAGCGTCTGTGATTGAGTCGGGGCGTCTGTGACTGAACCAGGGCCGTCTGTGACTGAGCTAGCGGGGCGTCTGTGATTAAGCCCGTCTGTGACTGGGCCAGTGACGTCTGTGACTGAATTGAGGCGTTTGTGACTGAACTAGAGGCGTCTGTGACTGAGCCTAGGGCGTCTTTGACGGAGCTGGGGTTTTTAACCCGCGCCCCACTGGGGGGGGGCTATTTATAGCCCCCCCTCCCGTTTTTTCGCAATAACTTCCAAACCGCTTGACGTATCGACGCCAAACTTTCAGTACCTTTGGCTGCATAAATTTGACACCTTGTGTCAAAATTTGAATTTCGTACCTACCATAGGTCGGCCGGAAATGACGTCAGAGTGACGTCATGTTCGACCGATTTCGACGCAAAACATTGAACCACGGCAATCGCTCCCAAGAGCTCAGTTTTTAAGCTAGATCCAATTTCTTTGCATGAGAGGACTCAAAATAGACTGCGCTATCAAACTGCTATCTCGGATTTTCGAAATTTTGAAAATTTCGAAAATTTGATATAATAAAATTCAAAATTTATATTTTCACATTTTTTTCAAAAAGTTTTTCACTTTTCGAAAAAACCGGAATATATGTGATAGAACGCATTATTATGACTAACTCTAGCAAGTTTTAGCTAAATATCTTCAAAAATGGCCAAGTTATACGCATTATAGCAAAAAATAACAATTATTAATTTTTCAAATCAATTTTTCAGCACGAATTTGACATTGTACGCCAATGTAAATAGCACCATCGTGTTCCTGAGCTCAAACTGCATCCAATAGACACCTTTGTTGTTAAAAAATTTTAACTTCAAAATTTGACCTTTTTTGACCTAAAAAAGACCTGACCTAAGCTAAATTCGACTCAAAATGACCTCGAATGACACAGACGACATCAAATTCGAAATGTTTGGCCTAAATGGACCATAAAACATGTGTCACGTGACCGACGCATGATATAATATTTTCGTGACCTGTGATGACCTGACCTTGACCTGAAAATCAAAGTACAAGTTTGGTACCCTCAGAGTATCTAGAGCATCTGTTCACGAGTGTGTGAACCAAAAATGAGCCTGATCTGACTTGTGAGACGGCGGCCAGAGCCCAAAACGTGAAGAAGCCAAAATGCTAATAATTTTTACTTTGACCTGACCTGTGACGTCATCGGTGACCTCGAGGTCAATGAAATTAGGTTTCGCTCGACAGTTTTTCCGGGGCTATCAGACGCCGTTTGAATTTTGACGATCGGCCCAGTAGTTTCGGAGTTAGCAGGGGGGGGGGCTATGAATAGCCCCCCCCCCCAGTAGGGCGTGTTATACGCAGACCCCAGTGGGGCGCGGGTTAAAATGCCAAAATCAAAGGGGGGCACGGTGCCCCGGTGCCCTCCCCGTTCCGCCGCGTATGATGCGAGATCGACGTAAGAGGCTTCCAGGTCGCTTGCAATGTGAACAAGTAACAACAGTGTTCCTTCGCAGGCACGGTAGTGTTATCCGCCTGTTGTTTTCGGTCGCTGGGCGACAGAACTCCGGTCACGTGTACCTACTTTTTGTGGACACTGAGCAGAGGACAGTTCACACACTGATACTGCACGACACAGGATTCCACTCACCTGTAATATCTGCAGTCGTGCCCGTCCTCGCCGTGTGCTCTGCGACCCCAGTCTGACACCTGACTGTCACTGGCCCTCGTCGTGTCTCGTCGTCGGTTTTATCGGAGTTGGGTGGGCGCCCAGCCGCCGCCCCCCCCCCCCCGTCCCCGTCGGTCGATGGCTCCCCCAGCTCTAGGAGCGCGCAGCGGCGTTGCACCACCCAGCGCCACCGACTACAGACTAGTGGGACGGTCTGCGCATGCGCGCTGCTCCGGCGAGGACTGACTGGGTCTCGGCGGGTCAGCGGGGGTGGGGCGGGTCGAGCGGGGTGGGGGCGGGGCGGGCTGAGATGGGCGGTACCAAGGCGGCATGGAGGAGGGTTCTCTAGCGGGGTTTCGCCGTTGCGGGGCTAACCGGGTATACTGTTTCTTAGGTGGGCTAGCTCGCTCCCCGGTGTTGTCGGGCTCTGTCGCCTGTCGGAGCGCTTCGAAAAGCCCTTCTCGGCCCGGTATCTCACGAACTCGTCCCGACTCTGACTATCTCTATCCGGGGCGATCAATCATCGGAAACACATAGGCCAGGGTTAACCCTCGCCCGCACATGCCATTTTCCCATCCTAGAACGCACATGGGGGGGGGGTTGCCACCCCCCCCCGCGCCATTTCGTTCCTGTTGGAGATAGAGCTTAGCGGTAAAGACCAAAAAGATTCTTCGGGAAGAGACGAATCCAATGATACCCAGTTTTACCTTCTCAGGTCAGTCATTGACCTTCCAGGTCAGGTCAAACTAAAAAATGTTGCTGTTTTGGGTCACCGTTGGATATCAAGTGTGCTGCTTATCAAATACCGATGACGATGCTGTTTTCTGGTGCCAAGCCAGCTAGAACCTCTTTGTCACACTACCCGACCAGAATTTTGCTGCTGAGGTCATTTCAGGTCAAGCTAGGTCAAGGTCAATTATATGTGTTTGTATGTCTGTGTGTGTCTGTGTGTATACTGATGTGTGCACCGATTGTTTTTGGGTCCATATTACATGAAATCATGATCTGAGAAGTTTTTACCAAAAACGCAGTAAAAAAACTTCAAAAAAGTAAGTTCAGCTTGCCTAAAACGCAATTATCTTAGATGACCTAGGTTGACCTTGACCCTGACCTTGACCCCTGTACATCGTCGAACAACATGTTCCATGATAGGTGGGAGGTAAGACTGGCAAAAAAGGCCGAAATCAGGGTGTCAAAAGCTCATAAGGCCCATGGCAAACGCAATATGTTGAGAATTGGCCATTTGGGTCATGACATGACCTGACAAGCAAGGTCATATCTCCGAAACCAAAAATCACAGAAACTTGAAATTTTTAGTGGACTTCAAGAAAGGATAGAGAAGCAGCTATACGAAAAATCAGCCTTCTAGCTCTAAAAATGTTGAGTGCAGAGCAGAAAGACTACCTGGGGGGGGGGGGGGGTGGCAACCACCCCTCCATGTGCGGGCGAGGGTTAAGGAATGGGATGCCCAATTGCCCTTGATCACATTGGAATTGAATAGATCAACTCTACTTTGCAGGTATCCCACTCGTAACAACAGCACCCGTCCTAGTTGAGGGTCATCTCCCACCCGATATACAGGTCAATCATGAGTCCATTCGTTCATCTCTTCTCACTCATATCATACGTTTCAATCATACTTCATAAATTACCAGTAAAACGCCTTATGGGCGACCAACGGAGCGAGCGAGAGGATGGGCCTTGCACGTGCGAAATTGCGAGGGGGTACCTCCAACTAACTTGTGCACTGCACCCTACTAACCGGTCTTTAGCGATGTGCCAAATTTCAGCGCAACCGGCCTAGCCGTTCTCGAGATCTGGAAGCGGCACACTGCACGTGCGCACGTGCAAGCGGGGTCCAAACTGACTTTTGTACGGCACTCTACTAACTGGTCCCCAACCGTGTACCAAATTTGAGCGCAATCGGCCCAGCCGTTCTCGAGATCTGGGAGCGCCCCCTGCACGTGCGCACGTGCTGTAGCACCCCAACCTTAACACATGCAGATGCATTATCTGATGGAGACCTAACTGTGTACCGAGTTTCAATTCAATCGGCCCAACCGTTGTGCCGTTATTGAGGTTGCAATTTTGGGGGTTCTTAAAAAATGTCCAACTTTACCACGCGCCACGTGCGGTGTTTGGCAAGAACGCATGGTGGCCATCACACCACATAACTTTTACGTCCAAGTGACATTCAGTAAAGAAGACCGCTTGTCAATCGGATGTCCCGTTCCTAAGATATTAGCTTTTGAAGAGCGTCCCCACGGCCGGCCGGCCGGCCGGCCGGCCGGCCGCTCATACTCAGGATTTTCCCTTAATTTAGTATGAGACTCCGCTCGCTTCGCTCGCTCCGTAACCAGAGTTGAGAATCTCCGATCCCTCCCCCTTTGCCTAACTTCCCCCGGCGCGGTGGTGCTAAAGCGCGCGCAAGTCGTGATTGAGCCATTGGCCCCATTATGCTCCGTACGTCAGGCAAACGCTTCATTATGCTCACATTTCACGAATAGGAGATACGAACCACCACAGATTTCGGCACTCGACCCTCGCGTTACGTGACTTATTGCGGTCCATCCCATCACCATGTCCAGTAGTTTCGGAGATACGGGGGGGGGGCAAAAAATGCCCCCTCCCCCAACGCGCGGAAGGTGGCCGGGAGGCCCACCGCATGCCGGGTGAAGTCGCATTCATAAACGCAAGTGCCAATTTTTTCCAGCTTCATGTGCTCATAGTCCAAGATTTGGCAAACCTCATCAGGGGCGCAGCCAGGAAAAAATTTGGAGGGGCTAGAATTGGTGAGGGCGCCAATTTTGGCTCAGGAGGGCGCCAATTTCAGGTCAGGAGGACGCTGTCAATGCCGAGCAAGGACGACAAAATGTACACTTATTTTTCCCTTACATGGTCACGCGACCTTATTCCACAAACTACGGTTTATTCAAGGCATTCCAGATAAAAACTGCATTTACATTTTACGTATTTCAAACGGAAGCGAGGCGCGGCAGTCTTGCAGGCAAACACAAACGGGGCTGCGAAGGTCTGCATTACTGGTGTATTTTTTTACCCCATGGCTCAGTTCCTCCGTCCTTCGGCTCAAATTCAGGTCTCAAATTCTGGTGTCAAGCGTCGTCTGGCTTACGGCCGACCCAAAAAGGACGATAGTGATACATTGAAACTTTTTATGAGGTGAGGTCACTTCAAGTGACCTGGTGACCTGACCTTGAATGACCTTGGTCTGAAATTTTCACAACATGTGTAGAATTGATGTATGATAAGGTGTACCAAAAACGGCGGCGCTCCGCGCCGCCGTTTGAGATATTCGCGCAAAACCACAAGGGGGTGTTCAAACACCCCCCCCCCCCAGCAGGGCGCGGGTTAAAGTTTTCACTTTTCGAGAAAAAAAAAACTGAATATATGTGATAAAACACATTTTTATGACTTACTCAAGCAAGTTTTAGCCAGATACCTTCAAAAATGGTCAAGTTATACGCATTTTAGCGAAAATTTCACACTTAAAAATTTTTCAAATATTTTTTTTTTCAGTACCTACGTATTTGACCTCGTAAACCGTAAAAATAGCACCATCGTGTTCCTGAGCGTAAACTGCATCCGATTGACCTGTTTTTGTTGAAAAATTTTAATTTCGAAAATTGACCTTTTCTGAAAGTGGCCTGACCTAAGCTAAATTCAACTCAAAATGACCTCGAATGACATAAGAGACATCGAATTCGAAATCTATGGCCTAAATGGACTATAAAACATGGTCATATGACCGACGCAGGATATAAGATTTCCTTGACCTGTGATGACCTGACCCAGACCTGAAAATCAAAGTAAAAATTTGGTACCCTCAGGGTATCTAATGCATCTGTTCATGAGTGTGTAAACCAAAAATGAGCATGCTCTGGCTTGTAAGACGGCGGCCAGAGCCCAAAAGGTGAACAAGTCAAACATCGATAATTTTTACTTTGACCTGAGCTTTGACGTCATCGGTGACCTCGAGGTCAATGAAATTAGGTTTTGTTCGACAATTTTTTCCCGGACTATCACACGCCATTTGAATTTTGACGATAAGCCCAGTAGTTTCGGAGTTAGGAGGGGGGCTATGAATAGACCCCTCCCCCCCCGTAGGGCGTGTTATACGCAGACCCCAGTGGGGCGCGGGTTAATTAAACGCTTCTAAGTGCCATAGGAGTTACGCACCACCATTTCTAGGCAGTCATTTTTACCCTATCTACGAAAAAGCTTGAAGGGTTTACATTAATATTCCCCAGCCTGCGAGGCTTAAATGTCATTTTGTACTCTAATGCCTCCATTATATCTATAATATATATCATCTCTGAGATAATACATGTCCCTGGAAATATTTCTTCTGTTTTTGCTGCTATTGACAGCGTGAGTACAGTCTGGAGCACAGCCATGGCAAAATGCAACGAGCCACCGGGCGTGAATGTGCTTATTTATGCAATTTGTCACAATCTTTTATTTATTTGTCAACTAAATATTGCACCATTTCTTGCAGAGATTAAACCGTTGTGTTGCAGTCATAGTGTTCAGGCCTGCAGGCCCTACGAGGGCGGCTGCAGTGAATCACTCGAGTTACACAGCTGCGTGGTTTGTCGTATATAAATATATATGTAGTGACAGATATGTGTGCGGTAGAACACCTGAGTTTCGTACACAAAATCTTTTGTGTTGTTTCTTGAAACAAGTGAAAACGGTACATTTAACATACAACTGGTTAATTTTGTTTAGTTGTTTATTTGCTTTGGTAGGCAACAAAAAAAAAATCGTACTAGCAGGTAAAGTCAGGGAAATAAAAGGGGTAGTTAGGTATGTTTGTCCAGAATCCCCAAAAAGCTGTTTTCGCACTTATTTGTAATGACCCGGGCACTAAAATTTTAAAATGAAGCCATATGTGGATTGCCTGGTCGGAAGATTCAGTGGTTGCTGAATAAGCACCAGAATAACCATATTCAGCACCTAATACCTATTTCCTTTTGCACCTAGTCTAAACTCAGGCCAACGGCCAAGTCATCGAGTGCTATTGCTAAATAATTTCGGCAAGAAAGGTCGAAAAGTATCGCGTTGTTATAGATTCGTAGGCTACGCTCATTATACCGTAATGAAATTTAATCACTTAAACTAACACTTATTTCTTACGATGAGCTTTAACCCTCGCCGCACCTACCTATTGGTTTTCTACATACGCGCCGGCCGAGGGGGGGGGGCGGGTACGACCCCCCTCGCTGTTTCGCCCCTGGTGGAGCTAGCGCGTCGCGGAAAAACGAGTGTGTGCGCCGTTACGAGACGCAGAGATTGGTGCCCGATTTTAAGGTCCTAGGTCAACCGGTGACCTCTGAGGTCAGGTCAAGTGCCCCAGGGTACGGTTCAGTTTTTGGTGAATAACTTCGCAAAAACGGTCGCAGAGCCGCGATTTTGGCAGCATCGTGTTCGCCTCGCTCAGGCGCGTCGAATGATATACTTTTGGTTCGGGTCAGATCAACTTGGGGTGTTGACCTTAGGTCAAGGTCAGGTCAGCACCTCCAGGTCACGAAGTTGGTCGAAAGAGGTTATGTCGCATATCATTCGATTCGGCAGGTCTTCTTGAGTCCATTGGTGGCTTTCCCGACTCGCTAGCTCAATTTGATCAAGAGTTATTGATGAAAAACTAATATGACCTCGATGACGTCATAAATGACGTCACGCAAGGTCAACATTGCAAAAGTGACGCATCTAACCTTGCAAGGAGTGCATTAAATCACGATTCTGTGTGCTTGCGATAGTTGGAGATCGTTCCCGGCGCCAGAATAGCAGTTTTCATTTTTCCCCATTGACTTATAATGGTGAGGTCACGAAAATAACCTGACCTCATATGACCTTTAGGAAAAATCCGAGATATACAAGTTGTGAGACTCATAATGGATACTAGATCCTGCAAGTTTCATTTCCCTGTGACATCTCCTCTGGCAGCGAGGGCGTTGCGAAGTTGCGACATCTGAAGACCGTGCAGAGGTTCACTTATGACGTCATAGGTCAGTGACCTGACCTGACCCAAAAATGCGGTTGGTGTCAAAAGATCCGGCTTGATTCAAAGGTCAGGTATGCTAAGTTTCAGCTCTCTATCGCGTGTTCGGAGCTATCGCGAAAAAACTTCCTTTGGGGGGGGGGCGGCACCCGCCCCCTCCCCCCGGCCGGCGAGGGTTTAACAACAGGCAGAGCTTCGAGTTCATTTGAACGTGTTCTTAGGGCGGGACACGGTCCTTGGATTGCACCACCTCACGAGTCTGTAGTTACCGTCTGAGAGTGAGAACTGCCCACTCATGGTTATGTGGCCCGTGGCCCGTCCTCTCGCATCAAATTTCACAGAACCTTCCTCCAGTACCGCCCATCTCAGCCCGCCCCACCCCCTTTCCGCCTGCCCCGCCCCACCCCGGCCCCGATGACCCACCGAGACTCAGCCAGTCCTCGCCGGAGCAACGCGCATGCGCAGACCGTCCCACTAGTCGGCAGTCGGTGGCGCTGGGTGGTGCAACGCCGCTGCGCGCTCCTAGAGTTGACAGCATCTTCTGCTGCGCGCCCTAACTCTTCAACAACAACAACAACGACAGTATCAGGCGAGAGCGGGCACGACTGCAGATATTACAAGTGAGTGGGATCGTGTGTCGTGCAGTATCGGTGTGTGAAGTAGTGTGAACTGTCCTCTGCTCAGTGTCCACAAAAAGTACACGTGGCCGGAGTTCTGTCGCCCAGCGACCGAAAACAACAGGCGGATAACACTGCTGTGCCTGCGAAGGGACACTGCGTTCACTACTGTGTTGTTACTTGTTCACATTGCAAGCTACCTAGAAACCTCTTACGTCGATCTCGCATTGGTCATTGTGTTTTTTCTCCATATTTTGCTCTAAAAGAAACCCTTTTGACCTCGACTATACAATAGCATGTTTTATAGCATCGCCACGAGAGAAATGTGACATAGAATCACTGAAGCAGTTGAATGCGATTTCTGAGGGCATTTACCACATTAGTTGAGAAGAGACCTATATCCTAGCTGAATCAACAATGGGAGTAACGCCTTCCCTCCCCTTCTCCACATGTTATTTGACAGGTCACCACCACGTGCCCGCGCCAGGAGCTGGTTTGTTTGTTTGTTTTGTTTTGTTGGGTTAAGCCCTTTCGGTCTGACGAGACCATTTCAGGGCCGGAAGGATGATAGGAATTAGGGGGAGACATTGGTCTGGGCAGGCACCCTAGTGAGTCGCCGGGACTGAGCCCGTCCAGAGGACAGGCCACCCAGCCCCAAGGCACTCACTGCACCCGGCTACGGGGTGCGCTCCCTCGGGAGCAGCGGTGCCGCTCCAAGGGAGCAGCCCGCATGAGATAAAGGTGCCTGTCCAGCCCGTAGTGGGGGTTGCGGCGTGTAACGAAATTCGTTCCTACCCCGTCCTCCACCTCCCTCTGTACCTACTTACTGCCCAGCCCCCTCGCCCACTTACAATACCCTTATATGGTCCTCACTCCTCACCTGCGACGCCTGTCCTCGCCCGCTTCTGATTGGTGCTATGATATGACGTACATCTATATGTATGACGTGTGTGTATGACGTTTGAATATAGCGGCCGACGCCGAACGCCGAGCAGGAGCTGTGAAAGATGGATTCGAAAGCCAACCGCCGTAGTGGCCTGACGTATCGTTATTCAAAGTCTCGGCCGACTGTTTATTACTTTTGGATTCTGTCGTCAAATTTGCAATACATACTTGAAGAAAAGAAAAACCGTGTTGGTTATACGGCTGGAACAAGAGGTCCCCAAACAGACTATCACAGAAGACGAAATTGTTTATTTACTTTTTACATTTGTTACACGGCGTGGAGGAGAAGGATTTCTGTATCCTGAGGATGGAAGCGATGGAACGGAGGCCGCTAGGAGCTGGCTATGCTACCCGATATGAACGGAAGAATGTTATTGTGCCGGCTGCTTAGATGTAGGCAGCCGGATAAGTGTCACGTGAATATGTCACGTTCTGTGTTATTTGGGTTGTGTGTGATAGTGAGTGAAAAATACAGATTAGCATCACGCCACATGGTGTCAGAAGTGAAAGTATCTTATTTGTAAATATTTTGTATTTTTTCACATAGACCTGAAATGATTAACTTTCGATTGGAACAAAATATCTGATATACTTTCATGCAATCACTGCTATGGCCAACTTGCCTCTGCCAGGTCCGTTAAAACTGAGACAAAACCACGATAATTTAGACACAACATGGAAGCTATGGCATCGACAGTGGAAAAACTACTCCATTGCCACAGGTTTACAAGAGAAGCCAGATGAGGTACAGGTTGCCACATTCCTGACGTGCATCGGTCCGGAGGCTCTGCTGATATTGGATGGTCTGTGCACAAGTGAAGAAGAACAGGCATCCGTGTCTTCGGTCGTAGCAAAGTTCCAAGCCTACTGCGTGGTCAAACCAAACGAAACGTACGAACGGTACAAGTTTAACATACGTAAGCAAGAAAACCAGGAGAAGGTGGACGAATACGTTACAAGCCTGAGACAACTAGCAAAAACATGCAACTTTGGATCCCTGGAGGAAAGTCTAATCCGAGACCGGGTGATTATCGGTATACAAGACGACAACGTCAGACGAAGGCTTCTACAAGAAAATGAGTTGACATTGAACCAAGCGATGCAGACCATAAGAGCTCATGAGACAGCATCTGATCAGATGAAGGCGATGACTCAGAAGACTCAGCAAGAGACACAACCTTGCTTCACACCAAGTGCCGACCTTCATGCAGTACATGGTAGAGGAAGAGGTCAACAACGGAGAATAACTCCAACTATTGGATGGTGCAAATACTGTGGCACAAAACACACGTTCAAAAAAGAACAGTGCCCAGCCTGGGGAAAGACCTGTCAGATCTGTGGTCGCCTGAACCATGTCGCCGCAAAGTGTAGACGAGCCCGTGTAGAGATGTCGGACATGGCTGACTCATACGTACCGAATGGTATGGGGTGCGATGAACCAAGCTCTGCACAAGAAACACACCTTAACCCTCGCCGGCCGAGGGGGGGGGGGCGGGTGCCGCCCCCCCCCCCCATAGGGTTTTTTCGCGATAGCTCCGAACACGCTGGCGATAGAGAGCTGAAACTTGGCATACCTGACCTTTGATCCAAGCCGCATCTTTTGACACCAACCGCATTTTTGGGTCAGGTCAGGTCACTGACCTATGACGTCATAAGTGAACCTCTGCACGGTCTTCAGATGTCGCAACTTCGCAACGCCCTCACTGCCAGAGGAGATGTCACAGGGAAATGAAACTTGCAGGATCTAGTATCCATTATGAGTCCCACAACTTGTATATCTCGGATTTTTCCTAAAGGTCATATGAGGTCAGGTCATTTTCGTGACCTCACCATTATAAGTCAATGGGGAAAAATGAAAACTGCTATTCTGGCGCCGGGAACGATCTCCAACTATCTCAAGCACACAGAATCGTGATTTTATGCACTCCTTGCAAGGTTAGATGCGTCACTTTTGCAATGTTGACCTTGCGTGACGTCATTTATGACGTCATCAAGGTCATATTAGTTTTTCGTCAATAACTCTTGATCAAATTGAGCTAGCGAGTCGGGAAAGCCACCAATGGACTCAGGAAGACCTGCCGAATCGAATGATATGCGACATGACCCCTTTCGACCAACTTCGTGACCTGGGGGTGCTGACCTGACCTTGACCTGAGGTCAACACCCCAAGTTGACCTGACCCGGACAAAAAGTATATCATTCGACGCGCCTGAGCGAGATGAACACGATGCTGCCAAAATCGGCGCTCTGCGGCCGTTTTTTGCGAAGTTATTCACCAAAAACTGAACCGTACCTTGGGGCACTTGACCTGACCTCAGAGGTCACCGGTTCACCTAGGACTTTAAAATCGGGTACCAATCTCTGTGTCTCGTAACGGCGCACACGCTCGTTTTTTTCCGCGACGCGCTAGCTCCACCAGGGGCGAAACGGCGAGGGGGGGGGTCGTACCCGCCCCCCCCTCGGCCGGCGCGTATGTAGAAAACCAATAGGTCCGGCGAGGGTTAACTCATTTGGTGTCGAGATTCAAACAGCAACTCAACAGGGAGAGCAAACTAATCTGTTAGAAGAGACGAGTCACATTCTGCATGTGAGCACCGGTGCAATGTCACAGCCACGGAGCGGCAAGATACATGCTCACTTGATGATAGGCAACAATCATATTGAGCGGTTTCAGCTCGACACTGGAGCCGGTGTCAATGTGATACCCCAGCACGTCTACAAGAAGGCATGCGATGACCCCCTCCTAAAGAAGCTTCAGCCATGTCAGATGTCGCTTGTCATGTACAATGGATCGACCAGTGCGGTGAAGGGGCGATGCAAACTGACGGTGACGAACCCCATGACGATGAAGGAGTATCAGGTGGAATTCTTTGTAGTACCACAAGACTATACTCCATTATTAGGGGTCAGTGCTGTACAGGACTTGGAACTCATCAATGTCAACCACGCCAACATCATGACCGTGCATCAAGCCAATAACGTGACCACGGGAGGAGCCGCCGGAGAAAAAGAGGCACTCGTCGCCGAATACAAGGATGTTTTCACCGGGACAGGCCGATTCCGAGAGAAACTGAAGCTTGAAGTAGTTCCAGAGGCTAAACAGCATCAGGCGGCGACGAGGTCAGTTCCAGTGGCACTGGAAGACAGCCTCAAACAGGAGCTGGATCGTCTTACCAGTGAAGGCATCATCACACCTGTGGAAGTGCCCACTGACTGGGTGTCTGCCTTAGTCGTAGTGAAGAAGCCGAATGGCAGCCTTCGACTCTGCTTGGATCCCAAACCGCTGAACAAAGAGCTGAAAAGAAACAAGTATCCGATTCCGACAGTTGATGACCTGACGTGCCGACTGGAGAAGGCAAAGGTGTTCACTGTTTGCGACGCAAAAAACGGATATTGGCACGTCGAACTCGAAGAAGAAAGTAGCTTCTTGACTACATTTGGAACACCCTGGGGACGGTATAGATGGAACCGCCTACCATTTGGTATAGCCGTGGCATCAGAAGAATTTCAAAGAAGGCTAAACCAAGAGCTAGAAGGTCTAGCTATAGATGGCATAAAGGCTATTGCCGACGACATTCTGATCTACGGGGAAGGCGACACATACGAAGAGGCTGTCACAGATCATGACAGGAAACTGAAAGCTCTACTAGAAAGATGTAGAGAAAGAGGTATAAGATTGAACATGAACAAGATGAAGCTGAAACAAAAACAAGTAGCCTACATGGGTCACCTATTCACGGATCGAGGTCTACAAGTTGACCCAGAGAAGACGCGTGCTATCCAATCCATGCCAGCCCCAAAAGATAAGAAAGGTGTACAGAGGCTGCTGGGAATGGTCAACTATCTTCAAAAGTTTTCCCCAAACCTGTCGACAGTAGCAGCACCATTCCGTCAGCTTCTGAAGGATGATGCACCTTTCCTTTTTGACGACTGCATCCACGGCGAGGCTCTACGAGCCATAAAGAAGCTGATCGTCGAGGCACCTGTTCTGAAATACTTCAGTACCAAAGACGAGACTAGTCTCCAGGTGGACGCGTCTCAAGAGGGGCTTGGTGCGT